TATGTAAAAATATATACTATTTTTATTTTTGTGAACTTCTAAAAAACAGTTTCTTTTGTCTGTGAGACAATGCTTTTGGGATCGCGGTTTCAACAGTGGTGGGATCCGGGTGGTTGTTCAGAAAGTAAACATTCCTATTATCTATCCATTTACACAAACTAAGCTATCAAACCTTCACTCGCCAATCAGATTCCCTCCTTTTTAGCCTCGTGCCACCTACTGCTGCTTTCCTGTTCGCATCCGTAGCTCAATTCATCAGCACTAATCCACACTCTTTTTATGGGTTTATTGTTTAAGGTTACTACAAAGATTCATTGATTTTCTATAACCTGGATTCACTTTCATACAGCTTTGAAATGTTTCGGAGCAACAAATGGTGAGTCAAAAACTTCACAGTTCACTAGTGTTGTCGTAAGGGAGCTCCTCAATAACAACAAATAGTTCGTTCGCAATCAAACTCAACAACTGAATATATAATTCTGTTTTACACACTGCCAAAAAACATTCTAAATATATTCCTTGTGTCTTTAGATTGCATGAAATAATAATTAATTGCAAAACTTACCACCCATCACTAAAAAAAAATGTTATCAATATAAAGAATTTGTCTGCATTCATTTGTTTGTAGCACTTTTAAATAACCACTTTTGAAAGGTATAATGGTATCTATTACAGACAACCAGTCAGTAACAGCAGCAATGTGATCGCTACCGGAGAAGCAGCTCTTTTTAAGCTTTTTATTTGCAACGCTACGTCATTTGGCATTCCGTTAGGTATAGTTAAACTATGTGTTCTGTATTGACCGGTTATTTATGAAATTGTATTATTTTAACCTATGTTCCTTTGACCTTTAAATAATTATTGTAATGTGTTACTTAAATTTTATAATTCCGCACAGTGTAAACATGCGGTATCGATTTCGGCCGACTCTCCCCAGCCTTACTTCTAATAATTATGCAAAATTATTCGATGGAGAGTTTAGGCCATCAGCCAAAAGGCAAATCGCGTGGCAAATCTGATTGTGTATATCCAACGCCTCTGCTAAATGCACAAGCCTGAATGAAATCTGGTTTTCTTTCGTCCACCCACAATTGCCTTTCTCGCCATCTCGTCGTACCGTATTAAAAAGTTATAAAACGGGCGCCACGTTTGACGGAACACGGTAACGATATAAATGGCTCTTGCCGTGGAAAAAAATATGGGCGACACGATCGTAAATTCGCCATCCTTTTAGTTAGAAAATCCCGTGGGCTTTGCAAATCAATTCGCCTCTTATCGATATATATACCGGGTGCGCCAATAAGGGCCTGAAGCTATGCTAACTTCGATCGTGGAATAAAAATTAAAAAAAAAACATTTTTTATTTTTCACATATTGAATGAATATTGAATTGAATTGAGTATTGGTAAAATCTTACAATGTATATCCAACTAAGAAACATTTCCGAAAAAAATCATTTGAAAATGCTATTTTTTTTTTTTTATTGTACAGGTTATCCCGAATTCAAAGGGGGTTTATACAGATCTCGGAAACTGTAAGTCGGTTAAATAGAACAATGTTTTTAATTTAAAGAAAGAACCGGAAATCAGCATTTTCATTTGAATTTTTTCCTGGCCTTAATTAAGAAAAAAATTGAACAAACAAAACTTTCCTATTGCAACTTATTCTGCTCTACAACTTGACATTACTAAGTTTCAAGTATGACATTTCGATTTTGTGTGCCGATCATCAGAACACATTAACTTAATTCCAAGAAATCAGTGGCCATATTGAACCATATTAATAAGTAGACTATTTAAAAAAAATGTATAGAAGTAACAATAAATAAGGTAAATAATAATTTAAAACTGAATCAAAAAATCTAGCGCTATGTATGCATACTAACCTACGATTGACAAAAACCAAACTGACTAAGCTTCAGGCTTTAAAATTCAGATGCTTCAGATGTTCTTACAATATTAGAAAACATAACAAAATCAGTCAAGGTATACATAAACAGAAATGTCTCATCGCAAACCTTTAAGGTACTTTCATCTTCCCTATCTTCTTACAAGACGTTAAAAACCGTCTTATTCAGAATTCGTGACAATTTTTGTCGTAATTGATTTGTTAAGTTTCTTGCTTTTTGGATAATGACGCAAAAATAACAACAATAATAATTTAGATAATCGAAATGATAAGCCCTCCGTCTCGAAACATCAAATTAATAAGCTATTAATAAACCTTCCACTACAATATTGAATCTTAATTACTCTATGAAAATTTTTAGAAAAAACTTTAGAAAGAATTATTATGAAACCATTTTCAAAAAATTACTTTACAACAGTATATAAATGCCGTTTACCGAACGTGTTGCATACTATACTTTTTCTACGACCGTTAGTTTTTGGGTACATTCCCGCAAATCAACAAAAATACATTCAATGAGATGACCGTAAGAATTCACAAATGTCAAAATTCAAAGCGTAGGAAATATCTCCGAAAGCATCCGATTGCTCCCAAACCCATGCTGTAAAATCCCGGAAATGTCCGAAGTGGCTAGGATCTGTGGGAGACGAAACCGACGTGGTAAAGCGACGCTTCCCGCACGCTAGATCGGTGTGTAATTAGGTATTTTACAGACGGGAGTAGAAAAAATAATTGTCATTTTCTCAAACGCAATTTGCTACGTTTTTATATTTTTTTTTCTGTTTTTGCCGTCTTTCTAAAGAGGGATGAGGTACACAATGTGGCTGAAATTGGAACAAATGATGATTTTTCCCGAATATCAGCGAGATATCTTACCGTTTTCGAAACCCCAAAGGCGAAAATAAATGTAAATGTAGGTTTGGCTAAATATTAATTTCGTGTTATCGAAATGTGCACTTTTGAAATTTCGCCAAAGACGAAAAATTATCTAGTGCATGCAAATATGAATTAGATCACCGTTATTTATAAATATTTTCTAATATCCTGACCAATATCTGGACAATCAATCTTATACGAAAAAAACAGTTCCATTCTAGGCACGCACTCTGTTACATTACTCGTTAGGAATAAATTAATATCATATGACAACCAATCGACGCAAAAATAATTTTCAGAATAAGCTGATCTTATATCGGTAATTTCATATGAGGAATACCTAAGAATACGGATTACTTTACTTCTTTGTTTTTGCTACACAAAAAATAGTCTTTTCTGCTCCCCACATAAAATATCAAATTGTATATACCCATCAAAGAGCCGAATATTGCTCAAAAATGTATGTTTTAAAGAAGTGCCGTCATCTATGGCGTAATAGATGAAACACGCGGGTAGAAATGTACCTATGTTCGTTTCGAAATTTATACTGATCGAGATAACTTCATGGGTTTTGTTTGAAATAAAACGTATCGTTGAACAATATCCAAACCATAAAATAAGGAATTTTAAATTTGTGATCCGAACTGTGTCACGTCCGTCAGTAATGGTCATAGAAAAAGTATAATATGCAACACAATAATAAACTTGTTGCAAAATGTACTAATATTTTTGCATTTACTACGGATTTGCTTTAATAGATTTTTTTTAAATAATCGTACGCAGAATTAATTTAAGTTGAACTCAAAATAGCGGACGGAACTACTGTATCAACAAAAACAACTAAGTGAACAAAGTAAATTCATTTCTCTACAAAATGCACCATATTCAATATTACTAGATCATATTTATAACAAAACATTATGTTCTAACGTTATGATAAAAATCATGTTCAGTAGAACAAATGAGCGTAGTATGCAGCCTATTATACCGACTCTGGCATATACGTCGAAAAAAAACAGTTTCAAATTCTAGTCTATTTAGTTTAAAATACGAATTTTCTTATCTCAAATATATTTATTATACGCTTTGCTCTGATAATACTTGGGATATGCAACCAACTATACCTTCTGGACTTCCCCACCGCACTTAGAATGAAGCAATTTACGCACCGCGTTGAGTTCTAATATTACTTACATTTGAATAATATTGCCCAATCAATCTAAAATTCTTTGCTTTTCACAATTTTTCGGAATATGAATTATAAGGTTCAGATTCAAATTTATAGCAGTTAGTTCCCTCCAAATAATTTTGCTCAAGTAAATATTTATCAAGTTGGTTGAACTACTAAATTTCTAATAGGATCTGCTTCCAAAGTTATTAGAGAAACAAGGGGTGCTTAAAAATTGAATAAGTTTTATATCTTATACTTGGATTGGAGTATTTAAAGTATAAGGGAATTATAAACATTGTTGAGTATTAACAAATAATTTTCCTCACAAAGCTTCCAAAACTAAGCAAAACATGGAACACGAAAGAATTATTTTCTGAGAGATTCGTTTCTCTCTAAATTGAGCTCAGGAAGTAAATTTAATACAAAAAAAAACATCTTTTGGAATAAACATTTTGAAAATATGAAAAATTGACTACTTTTTTGTACACATTTATAAAAAAGTTTGTTGCTTACTTTGAATTACACAATGTGAAATTACAATATTGATATCTCGTTCTTCTAAAAATCAAAAGTATGGTTATTTAGTTACTGAACAACATGTTTCCAATGAATAAACAATATTGGAAAAATAATCGGTATATCGGGAAAAGAAAATCCGTTTCTATCAACCCTTTATCGAGGTTTATAGATTTCAAATGTTTATTGAAAAGACGCAGAGTACAAAAATATTTTTAATATAAGAGCTTATCCCGGCCTGGCCTCAAATAAATTGAAAAAGAAAACAAAAATTTAACACATGATGAAAATTTATTATCTGGAAGTTGCCTAATTTGTAATATTACTATTATTATATGTTTTTAACTGCATAGCATTTTTCCAATTTTGTTTAAACAAACAAAAAATATTTTTGACTCTGTATATAACCATATTTATTTTTTGCAGCCTTCGCCCTGCACTACTTTTGCTATTAAACTCTTAATAAACTTTGGGAGCTAGCAATAAAAAAAAATTAAACTTATCATGTATTTAAATTATAGACAATAAGTTAATAGTATAAATTTATTTTGATAATACAGCTTGACAAACGGGAATGTCATCGAATAAACTTTTTTTAATAGTTTTTTGTTTTGCTCAGCCATGTTCATCCGCAGTTTGTCAAATAAAAGGCGACCAATTTTTTTTAGCTCTTAAAAAGGAAATACAAGAGAAACAAGAGAAAATTCCATTTAAACAATAAAAGGGGGCGGGGCCCAATTAAAAATTGTTCCAAGTTTGAACAACTTACGTACCATATGTTACAAAAATAACATTTTCTATTTTAGTTTATTTTCATACAAATAACTACTGTACAGTACCTTCTAGTACACAAAAATATCAATTATTGTACAAAATAAACCTGCAATACCAGAATAAATAAAAACACATATAAAAAATCTCAAGTGCAACCTTTCACTAAAATATATATATACTGTTCGTCACATACAAGAAAAAAGTACGCTGTAAGGAGATTTTTGTTTTATTGATATAAGTTGCAGTATGACGACAAACAGCTCAGAGCGGTCATATTTGCAACATATGGTATAGTAAACACTCAGTTCAGTACATAAACAATCACGTCGTGACTGCAAATAACACTGCACTTAACGATTAGCATTCTTAAGCTGATTGGATAGCCAGTCGAGGCCCTCGTATAACCCGTCTCCGCTGGTCGCGCACGTAGCCTGGATGTACCAATTACGATTTCTTAATGAATGGAGACCGAGTTTATCGGTGATTTCGGCCGCGTTCATTGCGTTTGGCAAATCCTGTTTGTTGGCGAAAATCAACAGTACCGCATCTCTGAGCTCGTCTTCCGCCAACATACGCATGAGTTCGTCTTTCGCCTCTCCGATACGCTCTCTATCGTTGCTGTCGACCACAAAAATGAGACCCTAAAAATCAAAGTCAAAAATCAATTCAATTAAAGGTTTAAAACATTCGAAAATAAACAAATTTTCTTTTAAACTTCACAGAAACATAACAAACCAGATCAAGTCAATGAGTACTTTCCTGGCATGGGATGAAAATATTCTGTGCACCTAAATATCAAAGAACAAAGGCAGCGGATAGAAACAAAGTTAAAATCAATTCAAAAAAAAATTAAATATTCAGAAATATGAAAGGAATTTTTACTTCACTGTTTTGGACATGTGATTTTGTGATCCAATCAATGGATACTTTATTAGAATAGCTATCTTCTTTTCCACGTAAAAATATTCTGGGCACATAAATATTTAGGAAACAAGTAGAAAGAGACAACACAGAGTCCAATTAAAAATCAATTCAATGAAAATCTGAAAAGCTTTGAAAACAAGGAAGAAGTTTTAATATCAGTTCTCACAGCAACATAACAACGCCATGAAGGCAATGAGTAATTTCCTGCTATAGCAGTTCCTTTCCAACATGCAAATATTCTGGGCACATACACACTTAGGATCTAAGGCGGCATATTTACAAGACAAGTAAATATATAAAATCAAATTTAAAAAACCATAAGCGATACATTCCACACATAAGTGCACAAAATAAAATCACTATTTGCCAAAAAAGAAGCCAAAAATATCATGTACTTATGTGCCACTACCACAGCCCCTCTATGGAAGTATTTTTTAATAACTAATTTTTAATTGTATTATTTTAGTCAGTTGCCTCAACTAAACCTTATATGAAAATGTTCAGTCCAGTCCACCTAAGTATTTCCTCAAATTAAGCCGTACCAAAAAAAGTTATATTCAAAAATGTTTTTTTCAAAAATTGGAATATTTGAAGAAAACTAAAATGGAACAACTTTTTCTAATAAAATTTTTGATTATTTTCTAAAATAACCTAATTTTGTAATATTTTTTACAAATATGGCAATTTGATTGATAAACACAAATTTTAATAACTTTTATGAATTAATTAGTTTATTATTTTTGATGTACAAACTATCTACAGACTCAAATTTTTGCAAAATTTATTAATAAAAAATCTGTATGATGCTGACTTTAGTTGACGTTGTATATTATCAAGGATATGGAAATTGTAAAATGTATCATTCAATATTCCTAAACATTTATGAAACCTTCAGTTGAAATGGAACACAATAATACTGGATGTATTCCCATGATAACACATTTTTATCAATGTTTTAAAAATTAAACTGCTTTTGTTATTCCATAAAAATCCCAAGAAACATCTTAATTTACCTAAAAAAAAAAAACAGGACAATTTTTAATTTTAACCCCTCGAGGCAAATCTAACCTAATTTTGACTATTTTTATTATTTTTAAAAAAATATGGAAATACTATTTTAAACTTGATGAAGAATTTAAATACATTAAGAAATTGTTCTCTACATTGCAGTCTTGTCAAGCCCACTTTGCTGAACTAAAGTTTTTTTTTATCTACATACTGGGGGTTATTTGATCTTTAAATAAGGTCAAATTCAAATAAGATTTTGCTTGCTTTTCTTGTTCTATGAAGCAGACCCAAAACTATTTAAAAATACATCATTTTCTCATAACCACCTGCCCTCTTGAATTACAATTAATTGCAACACAACAAAAATGAAAACTTATATTATTTTAACCTTTTATCAAGCAGTTTTAAATTATTTGGGTAAATGTTTTTAGTCATGACCGAGAATTCAAATTCTAAGCAACTACTAAATTATAATCTAGGCCTTGAGTCACTCTAGAACCCACAATTATATAAAAATTTGAAAAAACTGCTTGCCACCCAAGGTCTCCGTTGCCTAGACGCTAGACTAGTATTTAAAAAAAAAAACAAAATTTTACCTGTGTGTTCTGAAAGTAATGTCTCCATAAAGGTCTAATTTTATCTTGACCACCTACGTCCCATACTGTAAAGCTGATGTTCTTATATTCTACGGTTTCAACATTAAATCCTGAAACACAAATTTCATGTGATTTCTTAAAATGATGACTCATTCACCTAATCATTTATGAGTAATTGCCCAATTTCGCTATTAAAGTGGCAATGCGCTTAATGAAATATATGCAGAAGAACTAGGGTGATAAAACATAGACAGTGTCAAAAATTGAAATAAAACGCAGAATACTTTGTACTTACCAATAGTAGGAATTGTGGTTACAATTTCGCCTAATTTAAGTTTATATAAAATTGTTGTTTTACCAGCAGCATCTAACCCTACCATAAGTATTCTCATTTCCTTTTTACCGAAGAGCCCCTTAAATAGATTGGCAAACACATTTCCCATTTTGTCTGGTTGCACTTAACCTAGAATAAATGAAATATAAAAGTCAAATCAAAATCAACTATCGAATATTGATATTAGCATCCGTACTTTTAAAACAAAGGCAGACAACTAGGTGCTTCTACAAAAAATAAAAATTATTTATCTGGCAGTAATTTGACATATTGATTTCTTTTTCATCTTTATTTCAACATTTAACAATTAAGCTCAAATTATTACTACTTACGCCAAACGTAAATGCTTGCAATTAATAAGGTATAAACGAATTATACACTTTTATATAAAAAACAAAAATGCCGAACTTGTCACGATTTCCTCTTTGAAAGAAAAGTTCAACAGAATCAATGCCAAATGCGTAATTAATTGACACGCACTCTCTATCAAATGGAATGAAGCAAATTTTGCAAATACGAACCTACCTTCCTCTTAAAAAAATAACGTTTTTTCCTTTAAAAAGCCAAAACATTCACCAATCCACCCCGATATTCGTCGAAAATCAATATGGCCGGCGTAAAAGAGATTTGTGTGGATGCCACGTCTTGTACGAACGTGTGTGGTATTGGCCCCTTTCACTCACGTGACTCTTTCTTGCCAACTTTCGTTCTAATCAAGGAATTTGTTCAAGCGTAATTAATTAGTGATTTCCTTGCAAAATTTAATGGTTTAACCAGAAAAAATATTGAGTTCGATTGCAGAAGATGCCATATCCAGCTTCGCCTTTCAATGAAGATTTTAACTTGGATATTTTAACCGAATTGAAAGATGGTCACCAAAATGTCGGTTCTAGTGTGGTAAGCTTTGTTTTTTTAAAGGTGACGAACCTGTTTACTATTAGGCGGCTTTCAATGACAGATTCAACTTGAAAACCTCCAAAAAACAGTAAAATGGTTATGCACTTTTCCAAAAGTAACTACTTACAGAATTAATGGACTGAAGATTGATAACGGATCTGTTTTGTCGAGTATTCAGAATCAACTAGAGCTGGTAAGAGCGAAAAATTTGTCGCTGTAAGTTTTAAATTCAGTGCTAGAAAACCATTCTTTAAGCGGTATCAAGTTTTCGAATACTTTTTTGCTGGTGACACTCAATGTGCTAGCAAAATCGTGCGTATATATTCAAAAGCAACGGGATTATTACGTTTTAACTATTTAAAGCGATTGAAGGTACCCGCAATGTCTGTTATAAAGGGGTTAAATGACGCAATCAGTTAAACTGTGTTCTGTGTCAATATGTCAACATTTAAATTAGAAATAACTAGAACCAATCTTTATATTTCGACTTTTCTTGAAAAGTAAGGTAAATACTAATTGTTTTATACACGTATAAAATGCATCAACGTTATTTTTTCGCAGCAATCTTCAAAATACGTAACAACCGCGGTTTGCTATCTGTAATTTGCCATGAATATAGGTATATTTTTCAACATTTTTAATACAATTTCATTAAATATACCCTAACACGAATAGTTTTAGAAAAAGTATAAACGTTTATATATAAAAATTTGTTTACGTGCTCTTTTATTAATTACCCACTCCGCAGTTATTTAAATTTAATTTTTTAGTCGAAATGTGAGTTGAATGCTGAACTACACTCTTCTATCCCTGATATGATATTTATAAGGCATTTGGATACAACTCAATTAAGTTTAAATAAATTTCGGCAAGAAGTGGTAGTAGACAATGATTGCGGGGCCGCAGTTCTGAGAGGGTCACATATTTACGCGCCTGGCGTCTTGGGAATGGTTGCTGGTAAATATGGTATTTGCAATATTTACCGAAATGTTCTGTAAACTTTGGTATTAACTAACTGGCTAATATATACATTTTCGTTTTCTGGCGACTGCGCAGGGTCTGTTGTATTCCAGCTGAAATATTTTTATAGGCACCCAATTAAACGATGCAGTCAGCATTTATGTCGACATAGAAAAAAACTGCAAAAAAGGATTTCAAAAAATATACGAGGGCAAGAAAGTGTTTATAGGAAACGGTTTAGTTAAAATTGTCAGAAAGAATTTATTTGGAGAAAATCTAACCCCAAGGTTTGAATGTCTGTACTACATTTTTAAATAATAACTATTTAAATATTTATGCTTTAGTGGAATTGCTGTTCATGTTACCGAAACCATTTCGGGATGTCCGTCCATACCCAAAGACTGTTTGCCACCAGATTGGGGACTTTTACAAAACACGCCCTCTATAATTTGCGTTCTTAACTTGGGGCCTAGGCAAGGCGAAGTAGTGCTTGATATGTGCGCAGCACCTGGCAACAAAACTACGCATATCGCGTCGATTATGAAGAATCAGGTTTTTGAAACAGATTCAAGTTGTTTTTTTACAAGGTATGTTTCATTTACTTGTTTCAGGGTAAAATTATTGCAATTGACAAGACACCGAAAAAAGTTGAACAGCTGGAGAAAAACTGCATTAAGTTTGGTGCCAAAGTAAAATGTTTTCAAGCCGACTCGACTAAAATTTTAACTTACGAAAATGATGTTTCTGCAGGAATTGAGAGTGGACCTCCTTTTTCTCCAGAGTCTTTTGACAAAATTCTTTTGGATGTACCATGTAGTGCGTTAGGAAAGAGACCGCAGTTTCTTAACTCGGTCTCAGAGAAAGTTCTTCGGTCTTATGTGCCTCTTCAGAAAAAATTGTTTAGAACGGTAAATGATATTTTATAAAGTAATCTTAAGTCCTTATATTGTCCTTGGCCTATTTTGATCAATGGGAACGTAAATAATATAATATAGGTGCTTGCCACGTGAATAATAACTGGTACCCATCCACATATAATTGCTAATAGCAAATGATCCATTAGAGTTATCAGAAGCACGGCTTAACGGTTTTATAGAAGAATTTAAGCAATAAATATTTTGGAAAGCCGAGTTCTATAGAAACATGATATTGGAGCACTGTTGATCGCTGCCATATTAACCAACTAACCAAATATTATAAATTGGTTAAGGCTTTCGCGGCCTGTTGATAAGCTATTATCTTCATTCGGGTTTAAAGGCCGTCGTCGATTGGAATTACTTCCTAACGTTTCGCTAGCACGAGTGGCGAGCTTCTTCAGAGGTCCTTCCATCTCCGAGTCTACGTCCAACATCGGAGATGGAAGGACCTCTGAAGAAGCTCGCCACTCGTGCTAGCGAAACGTTAGGAAGTAATTCCAATCGACGACGGCCTTTAAACCCGAATAAAGATAATAGCTAACCAAATATTAACCAAAACTTTATCCATCACAGCGGAACACTTCACTACTGTGGTAGCAGTTAAAGAATATAAAAAGATTATTCTACCAACTTATTTTTTTTATTTCCTATTCCATGTATAGGGTGACCCGTTTAAGAGGGGGCATATACCATTATCTCGAAACTTACGGGCGTTACAAAAAAAATTAAATTCAAAAGTTCGTCGTCACTTTTTTATATACAGGGTGGTAAACCAAGGTTCCTTTTTTTTAAATAGAACACCCCACATTTTATTGCATTTTTGGATAGTCCTTTCAAAGAAAATTCAACGATATATATGAGTATGGGTCTGTGATGCACCGCTTCGAACTTATTAGCGAATTCGGGTTATATTTAAACCATCATTGTTAGGTTGCTTATTAACTTTTTAAACGTTTTTCAATCTAATATTTTTACGAAAATAATGCTTTTGTTTAGGCAATGATAAAATTTAAAATATTTTCTTAAATACGCCACGTTTCTCAAAATCATACTTTTCTCAATTTTCTTAAATAAGACACCCTGTATATTATTGGATTTTCAAATGGCCACTTTAATAGCAATTTCAATTATATAACATATTACGGGTCTCTCACTTACCGTTTTGGCAAATAAAATTAAAAACTGGGTATAAGATTTATCTTATCAACTTGTTCACAACCGTTTTAGAGCATTATTAAAAAATCATATTAAAAATTGAAGAATATAAGTAGTATATGCTATTTCTAAATGATATATGGGATTTGAGACGTAATGCGTTTCATTCAGAGAATGTATTGCCACCCGAAGTACTTGCTGCACTTCCCAAACTGATGATGGTTTATCTTTGTAAACCATATCTTTCAATGTGACCCACAAAAAAAAGTTCATGGGGTCAAATCTGGACTCCTCGCTGCCCAGGAGGTGGTTCCGTTTTGTCTATTTTTCACTCTCGGAAATTTTCGTTTAAAAAACGAATGATTGCAGCACTTCGATGGTAAGCAGAGCCATCTTGCTGCCAAATTAAATTGGATGTTAAATTTTGTTGGTAAAATAAGGGTCCTAAAATTCTAGATCTCCAGATTGCGCACCATACTTTCACGGATCTTAGCTCCTGCTTGTTTACTTCAAAACACATTTTTTATTTTATTAAATAACATCGCAGACGTAAATATTGATTCGTCGGTCCAAATTATACTTTTAAATATGTTCTCTAAAAAATGCCTATCCATCATTATATTGCAAAATTCGAATATTAAGTTAAAATCTGCTTCTTGTAGTTTTTGTACTGTTAATTTTTAAACATGTTGGAAGTGAAGCGGCAAGGCGGGTGGTGGTCTCTGAAGTATTTTCAAAATGCGGAAGAATATCTAGCTGCACATTTTCATCCAAAACCGTTCGGCTGCTACTTTTTCTTACTAAAACACTGCCATTTGTTCGAAACTACTGATATATTTTGGCAAATATTTTTTTTCTTGGCAATCGCCTATGGGGAAATTTGGCACCATATTGCCGGAGAGCAGGAGCCGGGCTTTTCTTATTGGCGATGTAACATTGTAATAGGTCCACCTTTTCTTCCTTCGTATACATTGTACAAAATAGACTCAACAAAAATGCAACTTAATAAAATTAATAGAAACTTGTGGAAGTCCACAAAAATACGCTTAAAATATTATAATACACTGATACCTGTCAAAAAGTCAGTAATATTGCCACAACAGTGGCAAAGCTACTGTCAAGAATATGAATATTTTTTAAAAGTTTTTTTTTCATTTAAGGACCTTATTTACAAGATTCTTAGATTAAATAATTGCCAATTAAGCCAAAACGGTAAGTCAGAGACCCGTACTATGATATATATTTGAAATTGCTATTGAAGTGGCTATTCGAAAATTCAATAATATATAGGATGTCTCATTTAAGAAAATTGAGAAAAATATCATTTTGCGAAACGTGGCAACACAACCTATTTTAAGAAAATATTTTAACATTAATCACTGCCTAAAGAAAAGCACTATTTTCGGAAAAATAATAGATGGAAAAAAGTTTAAAAAGTTGATAAGCATCCCAACAATGATAACATAATCCGAATTCTGAAGATGATCGCTAATCAGTTCGAAACGGTGCATCACAATCCCATACGCATGTATATCGTTGAATTTGTGTTTCAAAGGACTATCCAAAAATGCAATAAAATGTAGGATATTCCATATTCCAAAAAAGTGGAAATACTAAAAATAAAGATCATTTTAATAGAAATATATATAGAAAAATGTATTTATTTATTTTTTGTAACCCCGTACATTTTGAGATAAGGTATAGGCATCTCTTAAACGGGCCACCCTGTACAAGTCAACAGTTACTTATTTATTAATCAAACTCTTGACTTAAATGGTGTTTATCAAACTTTTTTTTAGTAAACATTTAACCATCCTCTTTACTTGTTCTAGCATCACTGTAACTACGTTAGGAGACACAGTATTTATATATCGTTGTTGGTGATTAGTTGATAATTAAGTCAATAACTTTTTCCATTAACGAGATATTTGTAATATTGAATCTTGGCTAGCTCTCTTCAGATAATCATGAATGTATTGTGAAATAAAAATAACATTTAAATGGGATTATTAATTTCATATTTATTCCGACCAACGTCTCTGTCTAAGTCTAAACTGGTCATGGCCTCATTTTCTTACTGCCCACCACCCACATTTTGAAAATTGGCGTTAATGTTTTTTGCTGTGTTGAGCCCTGTTCAATCATGTTAGTAGCTGTCATAGAAAATGGTTGATATATAAATAAGCTTTTTTGAAAAGTAAAAGTAAAGTAAAAACAATAAAATCTAACTACACGGCTAATACCAGAAAGGGGTTAGCCAGGGAGACACTGTATCCCCAAACTCTTTATAGTAGCGTTAGAGGACGTTTTCAAACAAATTAACGGGACTGAAAACAGCCTGATTGACAATGAACCTAAGAAAAACCAAAATAATCGCACCAGAAATTCAAATTCAGATAGACAATCAAATAATTGAAAGGTTGGAAGACTACATTTATTTGGGTCGACAAGAAAATCTAGAAGCTGAAAACTAAAAGGCCGAAATTAGCAGAAGAATCCGAATGACTTGGGCGGTTACTGGCAAGCTAAGCATCATTCTTAAGAATCCTGAAATACCCATAAATTTGAAATCAAAAGTTTTAACCACCTGTGTTCTTCTAGTCTTTACCTGTGGACTGGCATCGACAAGTCTGACTTCTAGAAAAATCAGTCAACTCAGAAAAACACAGGGTATCAACCTTGGAGACCATATATTCGTAACGAAGAGATCAGACGATGAACGAAGGTGGAGGACACATTGCTAGACAAGACTAGACACCATGAATAAATCACACTATGCAATGGAGACCAGGGGACCATAAAAGCAACATCGGTAGACCTTCCAGAAGATGGATGGACGACGTAAGAGAGGCGGCGGAATGAGAATGTTATCAGAAGGCCACAGACAGACAAAAGTGGAGGCTAGCAAGAGAGACCTATATCTAGCAGTGGATGTTGTGACACTGAAGAAGAAGAAGATTCAAAACAGCTAAGCTGGTACCCGTATTTGAAAAAGTGGGCAGGCTGGATATTCAAAATAACAGATCAGTGTTGCTGTTGCACTCAGTGCCTAAGATTTTTTGAAAAAGCTATTCACCTTAGAGTAATAAATCATTTAATTGGGTATAATATATTAAATAAACATTAATTTTGGGGTTATATGAAAGAAACCTACAGGGTTGGCATTATTTGATACAATTATAACTGAAAATTTTGATAAGAATCATAAAGTTGTTGATGTATATTACATGAGCTGCGGCAGATTTTATGAAATAATATTTGTAAAATAGAAAACAATCTGAGTGTGACATGTGAAAGGGGGTATCACAGAGCTCCATTCTGGACCCATCCTATTTGTGTTGAATGCGAAGAATGTGGCGAACTGACTTCCGCTGGGTGTGTCAGTTTTGTGACGACGTTCCCTCTGGATGTTCAAGTAAGACAGGATGGATAAAACAAAGTGTTTCTTGAGAAACTTTAAAACTAAATGCCAAAAAACGGGATTGATGATTTTTTCTAAAAACTTTATTAATACAGAGCCCTTGTTGATACAATTTGATGGAAAAATAGTTCCAACGAAAGATCATATAATTCTCGGGACTTCATAGACGCTAATCGAAGCTAGAATTATCACATTTCATGTGTTCTTTTAAGTGTAAGCAATTTGTATGCACTTGTCAGAAGATTGAGGGAGATTGTGTCATTCGAGGCAATTAAACTTTTTATTATGGTCAGGTCTTCCAAAAAGGCACCACATATTTTCAATTTACACAAACGAATATTGAGATCTATCTTGGGATTTGTTCAAAAGGTTCCTATACTCTGCTCAGTTATTGATATTAGTGAGAAAAAGAAAATTTATTGCCTAAGGACAAAGATTGATGGGCTGATGACATGATATTTTGACAAGACATGGAGGTAATAGGAAATAGAGCATTCCCAGGCATAATTTTGCTCTCTTGGGAAAATGATCATAATAAAGATGTTGACTAATATTTCGATACTTTAACACTATATAAAGAATATTATTATTGTTATTATTATTATTATTATTATCATTATTATTATTGCGACTGTAATCCTAAATCAAATCTAGAATTAATGAGTTTTGTTTTTATTACAGGCCGTACACCTTTTAAAAGTAGAGGGTACTTTAGTGTACAGTACTTGTACAATAACTCTTTCAGAAAATGAAGGGATGGTAGCCTGGGCACTGAGCACCTTTAATTGTCTCAAACTTATTTCACCGACTCATCACTTAGGCCGTCCTGGTTGGGAAGGCATTACGTTAAGTGAGGATGAGAGACAAAAGGTACAGAGATTTGGACCCGAAGCAGAGAATCCCGTAATGGATTCCGTCGGATTTTTTATCGCCTGTTTTAGGAAAACGTGTAAAATAAAAAACTAGGTTGCGTAGTTTGTGTCTATTTTATACAATATGTGACAAATTTCTCATCACACGACCCGCATCCTTCTACGGCAACGTCCATGTAACATTCAGGTATGTTCGTGATGACTCGTATTGTTTCCCGGTAGGCTCTACTCTCGCTGAAACAAGAGAGAAAAATCAAAATAAGAGTTTCAAAATCAAAGTAAAAGCCAGTTCTAATGTTTTAATGGATATTGTTTTTGAACTCTATTGCTGGTTTCATAAATTTAAAGGGTGGGACATAAAGACGGGTCAACCGGTTATATCAATTAAATTTGCGTAATATACACCTATGGCCTTAAATCTTATTTTATTTAATGAAGCCCTTATTCAGCATTTTTTTTCAATTCTTGTTTACTTTTTTAATTAAACATTAAAAAATGATAATTAATTTTAGTTGACTATTGCAAATAATTCTTAAGTATAAAATTTAGTCCTACTTTCATTAGTTCCAAACTCACTAAAGACTACTGAAAATATCTCGTTATCACTTCTTGGCTCCGCTAAATCAAACTCGTGACTAAAATGGTGTTTATCAAACTTATTGCATGTTATACTATACATTTACCTGGGTGTAAAACACACGGTTATGTTTATGAAGCTGTGATTGGAACCGGTACTTCTATCTATTCTTCCCGAATCTGGGATCACTGCAATTGCCGATCCAGGACACGACTTAAACATATGGAACGTAACTTCACTACCTGAAAATATTTAAACAAAGGCCTCAATGACATAGGACAAGAAAAGAACTAAATTGGTACCTGTTAAATTAAAAATTGATAGCAAACCCTGTACTGTTGATCCGGTCAAAATATAACCAAATTTTATGCGGTCGGGTTTAACTGCTATATTCGGATAATGAAGATGCAGGAAGAGCGGAAACTCCTGCGAGGAAAACGTTGAAAAACATATGATTAATTTCAAACTTCCGTACAGTGCACTCACTCAACAATTATAATTTTAAACTTTATTCTCTTTACAACGAAGAGCAATTGTAAAAAATTTATCTTTTATCTGGAATTTTAAAAAATCTATTAGATTATATTTACATTATTATATTTATTGAATTAATTGCTTTTTGTATAAATAAGTTAATAATAATTAGTTAATAATAAGATGTCTTACTATATGTTACTCACATTACTTCCTACAAAACAAATCTATTGAATATATTTTTCCTAGACAGAAGCCTATATGGCGCACAATGAGCTAGATTCGCTTCAAAATATTGAAATATATTTTTTTTTAAAGCAATACGATGATGATGATAAGTGAATTAACAGTTAAGGCTTTTTAAATATTGGTAAAATGTCGTAGTTTTAAAAAGTCTTCTCTTTTTTGTTTTATCGTTTATTAAGCTACTTACTACTTAAGTTACATATAGTTGGCATGAGATTTGAAAAAATCCGAAAGCTAAAATATGATAGCATTTATTTGGAAATGAGTCAAATTTACAACATAAGATTTGTAAAATATTTGTTGCTCATCTGAAGTGTGTATTTAATTGTAAAATTTTATATGAAATTATGTTAGAGAGATTGATCATCTCTAAAAGTGGATCACAATGAATTCTTTTTGCTTTACATTCTTGAAGAATTTGTTCCGATTCACTTTTAAGTCTACTGAACACAATGGTTTCCTTTTTAAGGCTGGTTTATTTCTAGGACGTTTGGACACGTAGATAAGGAGGCAACCTTATACAAATTTAATAGAATTGTCGAAAAAAATTCATAAATAAAATAATATATAAAATATTTCATTCTAAATGACAAATTGGTTAAGTTCCGGTTTCTGAAGATACTTAGTTATTTTCTTTAATTCTCGCCCTTATGGAGTTATAGAACAATTTGTAGAGGAATATATAAGGATAAAAAAATAAGCAATTTTTAAAGTGAAATTCGTTTTAAATATTTAAAACTCCACTGAGGGATGATATAAAATAATATAAATAAATATAATCAAGACCTTTAATAGGAAGTAGGTTTATTCATTATATATAGGTTTACCTTATGCAGATTGTCATTTAGGATGTGCCCCTAGCAAAGTGTGAATAAAAGAGATTAAAGGTATACCTCGATCAAAAATATAGTGCTTTTACAACAGACCCCGTGATTAACTTTGCCTGCTGTTTAGTACCCCAAAACTGCAGCCCTTATAAAAACCCTGCCGAGCAGACCCTTACCCGTAACCACTGCAGGACCGCTAAGAATTTATCGACCAACACAACAAGCGGGATATAAGTATGTTTTCAAATCTTTTTCGACGAGCAATTCTTGAAACATGTACATAGTAACAATTTATTACGTTCTATTTCATTTCTACATAGTATCATTATTAATAAACAAAATATTAAATATAATAATAACAAAGTATCAGTCACTTAAAAAATCGTCACTATCGCTACTGTCGTCACCTAGTTCAATGATCAACTCCAATCGTTCTCGATAAATATTTTTATTACTCGTTTTCCACAGACCAGCTTTTGTACTGATATTTTAGCCACCTCTTACCATATCCATTTTCTTCAAAAACGTACGCAACGACTCTTTGGTACAATTAATGATTAAGTCTGACAGTACTTTTTTATGCAGTTCTTCTAGGATTAAAACACTATTCACAATATAAGCTTCATAGATTATACGTTTAATTAGAGCTGCGTGTTGCTCTTTAAAAACTCGCTTAGTACCAGCATCTTCTCTTACTATCCGCTTGACTATCCCATTTGCAACAATTTTTCTTACAGTTTACTTCGGACTTTGGTCAAGTCACTTGTTTTTATTGCTGCTCCTACTTCCCCTTTTGAATTTCTTATAAAATTGTAAACATTCAAAACAATTTCTTTAGCATCCGAAAACAAATAGATCTGTTTTTTTATTTGCTGAGGTAGTCTGTCTTCCAAATTGTCATTAGTTTCGACCACCATCCCCACTCATCTTCAAATTCTGCGTTGTTTTCCATGTCTTGTTCTAATAGGGGAACAACTGCTTCATTCCGCGGACTCCATATTTCAAAGTTTTAAAAAACAGGAACCTTCAGAAAATATTTAATTCTAAGATTCTAATAAATATTTATCTGTATTCTTATAACATACCTTTATCTACCGCGTATATAATCTATAGTCTTAAAAAAAGGCTGTTGTTTACAAATCGAAGAACTATGTAGAAGACTGTACTCACTGGAACGAGTACAGTCTTCTACAGTTAAATTTAAAACGGTCAATTTACGTTTCAAATAAAAAGTTTCTACAAATATTCGTTGCGGTCCATCTCGGGGATGCGTTTTACCACGGCCCTGCTAAGGTCTGCGGTTAAGGTAGTGTAAAATACTTAAAACGTCAAGGCAATAAATGCACTATATTTTTTGGTCGTACTATATAAGGAAATTTAGAATATTTACCTCAAGCTGTTGCTCTGTCTCAAGAAATACTATTTACAAATGTTCTGTATTTCCCCTGCCTCAGTTGGAGATAAGCTCTGAAGAAGCCAACAGGATGATTGGCGAAACAGAACTTTGTAAATAGTAGCCTTGTGGAAGTTTTATTGCAAAATTCTCAAGGCATAGCACTTAAAAAGTGGGTAAATTGTTTTTGGTAAAAAATTTTCGTAACGCATTAGCAACACCTAAATCTAACAAAATAAAAGCTTTGCATTGAAATGATTTAAACCTATCACTTAACAAGAAACTAACAGTTAAATTTTTCGTAGATGAACTTTGTAAAGCTCTTTACTTCTTTGACGTTTGCTACATCCCTACTGGTCACTCTCTTGGCCAAAAACTGATTAACGAAAAAGAAACACTTCGAAGCAAAGTTACAATATCAATAAGTATCAACAGGCAAAAACTCACATATTTAAAATATGCGTACTAAAACTTACATCTTTAAGTCTTTGGTTGTAATAAATGTTTAAGTAGGATCTCATCGTGAGGATTTTATCTCCACGATCGAACTTTTCCACTTGTAAATTTTCATCATTTTCATTGGAACGTGCAGGTCTGTATAATTCAATTGCCCATTTTAACAGTTGATCGTGTGAAACGGCGACAAACATGGAGATCTGAAATAAAATTAGTAATAATAGTAATACAATTACATGGATTCAAGGGTTATTACAATGAGTTGAGAAAGGAAAAAATAATATTAGAATATCTATACGGAAATCAACTTAAGACTTATCTTTTCTTTAATAATCTACAGAGTATTTATATAAAAATTTTTGGGCACGTATGGTTTACTGTATTCATTATTTTCGCGATTTGTTAATAGAAAGTGGGGAATCATTTAAATTTTACCAAACAGGGTGGAATGAAAACAAAATGGAAGAAGAGGTCGAACATAGAAATATTTGACTCATCAACCGATAAAGGCAAGTGTGTAACAAGGTGTCAACGTTTCAAGATTTTTGAGCTTTTTAAAGTTTTTTCCTACAATTTTGAAAATAATGGATAAAAGCCTGATACGCCTAGTAAGCCTTTAAAAAACAGACTATTTGGAGCTTTGCTAAGAATCTCTGTTGTTGTGACTGTATGAATATTTTTCGTAAACTGTGTAAACTTGTTTATTTGTAATAAAACCGTTATTTTTCAAACCCAATATTTATTTATTAGTTAAAAAAATGTAATACAAATAAATAAAAATATTAATTAAGAGAATAAGAGAACATTTTCTGTCCCTGCACAAATTTCCTTCTCCGATTTAAAAATGTTGTATTAAAATTGATACACTTTTGGAGATGAGATTCGATTTTTTGATACAGTTTATGAAAAATATTCAAATGACCGAAAAGACGCTTTGACAGACTGTCTCAAAAAAACTAATGAAAACTAAACACAACTAACCAAAATGTTAGTAAATCAAAGGGCGGGCGGTGTAGTAATAAATCACCCTGCACATTCGTTTTTTGGGAAAAAGAAATTTTCCAAACAGTGGAGAGAAAGACTTTCATTTTTTCTTTTTAAATTAGTTTAAAAGAAGAACTTATTTTTAATGATTCGAGTTTGAATTTCGTTATAAATATCGTTACATTTTGAAAATTAGTTTTAATCTATCCCATAAATTAAGTTTTAAAGTTAATAACTATTAGTATTTTTAAAAAACTCATAACTTTGATAAAATGACTTCTGCACAGCGCCATTTTCAAAGCAAATATCAGCCTATCACAAAATTTTATTTGTCACTTACAATTTCCCAACCACTGGGTGCTAATTTTAACCTTGTGTTTCCGTACGCTAAGTAATAAGGCTCGTCAGTTTTTAAGTGAACTTCGACACCACAATTATTGTCGTTCCTAATTCGGCATTGGATATCATGTTTCAACTTATTATGGAGCAGTATATCGTTGGCAAAAATGTGCAATTGTTTATCTTCTTCTTTAATTTCAACATCAAGATATGGAATCTCCAATTTTACTGTTACCGCAATAATGATCGGTTCCGGTTTACGATAATAGTAATTCAGTTTTTGCCTAAAACTTAGTCTTAATATTCCTAAGCATGATTATTTTGACCAACACATACCTACTATCTCCGTCGAGTAAGATTCTTCCCAAAAGAAAACAAGTTAACATTTTTTTGTAGTTGAACCATTCCAGTTTTGACGGTTTAAATAACACCGTAACGTTCAGCTTGTTGGAGCAGTTTGAAAAATACGATTCACTTGGAATGACCTAAGAAAATATTACGAAAATTTTCTGCTTTCATTTTTCGATTGTATAGATATGACCTATTTCAGGATTGCACTAAATGTGTTAGAGGAACATATCTGAATAACCAGTGACGGCGGAGATTTTTGGCATATGTTACTGATTCAGATTAAATAGACGCGATACCATATCATACACTATTTCTCAAAACTCTTTTAATATGTGTTTATAGATATTGTTTGTGCGACTTTCATTTGTTTTTAGAATTATTTGAAAAACTTCTTTCGTACTTAGCTTATCTGTAATCTAATTTTTTTAGGAGACTTTAATGTGAATTTCCTCGTAAATTCAGCTAATTTGTAAGAGTTAAGCTGAGTTCTGGAGTCGTGCCGTCTGGCCGTTTCGGTTGGTGAACCAACCGGGGTGACACCAACATCAAGTACATACCTCGATAACATATTCACGAACTTGACAGACATAGATTACAACATTGAAGTTCTAGATTCTTGCATTTTTGACCATTAAGCACAAATATTAAGAATAAAAAATAATTCTTCTTTTAGCTCTTCAATTTTCACTAGGAGGTTTACCGTTAGAAACGTTAACAAGTTTAAACATTACCTTCTGAAAACGAATTCGTGTTTGGTATATTCAAATTATGATGTTAATTACCTATAGCAAATTTTATGCACTACTTTTATCAACTTTATTATCATTCACTTCAAAAAAAGATTCCGCTTGCATTAATATTTACAGATATTTAAAAAGGGAATACAAGCAAGATAACAACAAAAACTAGCATTCAATAATTTTATTTTTAACTCAAATTATGAAAGCAAGATAGATATCTATAATATGAACAGCCAATTAATTGATCTGTCATATTTCAATATTGCCAATTTTTGGCAAGATTTTTGAAATTATACTGAAAGAGTTGCTGTTAAACTACTTGCTAAAAATTTCATTTTTTGCTCATGAACAGTGAGGTTTTTACTCAGAATGTCGACTATAAAAGAGGTGCGTGCGATTGTGCCATGTATCTTGGTTTGGGGAAAATTACTTGCTTTTGAATCCAAAATAAAATCTTTTAGTTTCTTCAAATATTAATATTACGAGATTCACGTAAATCAATTCCATCGGCACTGTTTATACTGCGAAAGCTTAAGCAATCTCTTAATACTAAAGTTATTAGAAGAGTGTATTTCGGTTTATTTCACTCTAAAATGCAATGTGGGTCACCATATGGGATGGATTTCCCGATACCGTCTTAATAAATCGATTAAAAATTCTTTAAACCTGAACTTGTGCAATAAATTACCATGTAATAAAAACACCTTCGTAACAATTCTTTTAAGAGAGCTGTCAAGCATCTACTGGCAATAAACTGTTTATACATTACTGATGAGTACCTACTTTTCAAATGTGTAACCTATGTAACCTGTCTACTTTTGCAAATTTGTTTCGTAATAAGTTTATTCATATATATGTATTTGTTTATTTTATTTTGACTTGCTACACATACATTTTGTATATCATGGTTAAATAAATAAACCTAAACCTTAACGACTATGATTTCTGATGAAACTTTAAAATAGAAAAGCTTTTTTGTTCTACTTTGTAATCTAAATTTACACACTTGATTAAAATGTGTGAGTAGAGAATAATATTCGTTTCCAGAAAAAATATTCGACTGTTCTCCCGTAGGGATGCTACAGGATGAAACTAAAAAGTAATGCATATTTTTTTGTCTTAACCGAAATTTTTATGGATAAAATTATGTGAGTAGCGGAAAATTTCAATTTTCAACCAAAATACTTGCTTGTACTTCCTTCCGTATCACTAAAAGAGCGGAGGCAAAACATATTTTCAATTTTTTAATTTCACCATATAGCAACTCTTGTACGGGAGTACAAAAGTTATACTCTGCGCACACATTTTCAGAAAGGGATAAATTTCGGGGACAATTTTCTATTTTAACATTTCATACTTGTAAAAGGGAAAGAGAAATAGTGTAAAACATGGTGTCTTGGTTTGTATTGCCACCTGTTGATTCAACATTCACCTATTTTTGTCAATAAAATGACATTGACCCTTAGTTTCCGACATCAACCTGACGATAGCGGCACTAGCTACCAAAAGCTAGTCGATTAGCTTAGAAGAAAGCATTAAAGGAACATTCTACATTACTTGACAAGCACAATTTCAACAAAAAAAAAATCTTTTTTTGCCAAGACAACCTCAGCGATTGCCATAACGAAAATCCACGAATTACGGTTTGAGCTGTTTGACTAGATCTAGCAACAAGCGACATCTTTTTGTGACCTCATCTAAAAACTGCGCTCGGATTACAAAAACTTATTTTGAGAAGAAGGACGCTGTGTACTATTTGGATCGAGTTTCAAAAAGACTATGTAGAAAAACGTAAAAAAAGGAAAAAATGTCTTGTATGTTAGGTCAGAAACTTTTCAAGTGCCCCTTGTATACAGGATGGAATATTGTCTAGAGTACTAATCTTGTCTAGAGTACTAATGTCAGCGAAAGTCACTTATATTCAGATAACTTAAATCGGTTCGCTCCCACCTAACACGTTTAGTGCTATCCTGAGCACCCTTTTGCTTTTATAAACCTACTTGTATAAATTGAGAGCAGTCGGTTCCGAAATAACGTTCTGTGAAATCAAGGAGAATACTGTCCTTATCCCCTAACCAATTGCAAACGACGTTAAACGGTTTTGAAGGTGCTTCGTCATTCTCGGAATTATAGAGAAAAGTGTGCCATATGACTCTTAGTGGTATGGACGAAATATTCAAAATATCAATTTTCCTTTTAACATCTTCGGCATTATATAATAAAGACCCTAACCTTCAAATATAATTTTATGCTTTAAATTTTGACTGAGCAGACAAGAATGCAGAGTGGATCTCGAAAACTATTCCGCCAAAAATATTTATAGAGTTGTCACGGTCATCTTAAATGTACCAAAACAATAATAATAATAATAATAATAATAATAATCAATATGCAAGTGCAAGAGTAGGTAGAATAATATGACGAGATTAAATGCAAAGGATGAGAGTGAAATTGCCAGCCCAACTACATTGAATGCATCAACGAGTTCTTCGATTAACAATTAATATGTGAGAAGCGCCAGGAAATCAAAATATGCAATCTACAAAGGATTTTTTAAAATTTCACCAAAACTTCTGCGACAAGTATCAGTTACAATTAAACAACAAGGAAAGCGAATCAGCAAACTTTTCCTTGTAAAAACGTTAAAAATTAGTCAAAAGCGTTATGGTAATGTTCTGAAGAAAACCAGGCCTTCTGGCATGGCTACAATAAATTCTTTACTTTAATCGGAATCATGCTGATACGTGTACAGCGTGATCCATCAAGCAAACATACCTCTATTTACGAAAAGCCGAAAAAGTAAGGGCGCACAAAGAAGCAAGAAGAGATAAACCTACTGCAATAAAAGCAATCTGATTTGAGATTGTTGAGAACACTATAAACTCCTATGTTAACCCGCAGTGGATAAGGTATATTTTCTGAGGCAACTTTGCATCTACAATTTTTTTGTACATGCTACTAATGAAACGAATATGTTCATGTGTCACGAAAGTGTAGCCTCAAGAGGCAGTCAGGAAATAGGATCTTGTGTTTTTACGTTTCCATTACGAGCTATATATCGACGATCTTTCGCAATGCCCTGTTTCTATACTTTTATCTCAATTTTATTCACTGTGGATCTTGTAATTTGGTCTTTCTGGATACTTTGCGTTAAACAAATGACAAACTTCTTCCGAGTTCCCGTTTTGTCTCCATATCCAATAAAAATTAAAATTTCAAATCTCTAGGTCTGTTTACTGCAAAAAAAAGATGTTTGCGAGCATTTTTCTTGAAATCTAATACAACGGCAGGTGTAGTGACTATAATATAAAGAAAATAAATTTTATTTGTAATTATGTTGCAAAACGCCCCCTAGTTGCGTTACCATCAATCGAGAAATAACCTTTATAACAATTTCAAGTTTGACCAAATGCGTTAAGCCATTCTGAAGTTATTAATAATTATTTTCTAAAATTAACATCCCCACTACTTTCCATAAGTTATGGGCATGAATATATTGAAAGAAGTAAAACCCTCAGAATTCCTCAGGCATTGCGGCTCTGTTATTAGAATCGGGAAAACTTTCTACAGCATTCAAAAACTTAAGATAGTGGCCGTACTAAATCTCGTCAAAAAACCACATGGAGCTAACCTCAGTCTACGACATGGTTTGGAGTGTGGCAATGATGTCGAAGTCCTGAAAACAACCGCAATAGCTCTCATATTATGTGGCGGAATACTGCTGACCTGCCCGGATAAACAGCAACCACCCTTACTTTATTGAAACTCGCCTTAATAGTGAACAACCCTGACAACCCTTAACCGGTTCAGGACCAATCCTGGAAGAACGCACTAGTCGACCCAAAAGTGGGAAATGACTAACGACCCTAACTGTTCTTAAAGCCTAGTTGATATTTTTCTTCTCACCAATGTATGCTTTAGCGCACTTGCATGAAATGCTGTCCTGATGGCTCAATCGGAATTTTGTCTTCAGCGGATCGAAGATGTTGAGAGATTTTTGGACAAGTGCTAAATCTGGTTTCCAAGTTGTGTTTCCTAAGATCTTCCGACATGTGGTCAGTGATGTTTAGAATGTAAGGAAGGATAACAGTGGCAAGCGTGGGGTTGCTGATCTAGTTTTGTATTTTATATATACCTCGGCCATTTGATTGTGCGTTTTGTCTTTTTGTCTTTTTTTCATTTGATGATTTGTGTTTAAGCAGTGCTCTGTGTATGCCATTCGACATACAATTGACATTAAAACATAAAGTAAAAACCATTTAAGAAAACAAATAGAATTTACCCCAGCTTCACAAAGTTCCTTTCAGCTAGGTGATTTAGAAATCTTATATCCTCTCACCTTTTACAAGATGAAACTGTCTGAAACATTTTTCTACAGACATCTTAAATATCTTCTCGCATTTAAATGTTCCAAATAAGTGTGCAGATCCTTAATTTTCTGTTCAACTGATTAATTTTTAAGGTGCGGTACTTTCCAGGGTCAGAACATTAATCTTTAAAAAAAAAATTCTGATCAATTTCTTATATTTATAATTTTTTTTACAGCAACTCACGGCGAGAAATAGTCTCCGAGATACGGTACCCAGCTTTCTTATCTGATCACCCTGAACAGTTTGAATTGGAAATAATCCGGTAAAACGCCCATTTTCAATCGATGTCGTTTTTTTCTAAGAGGTACTTCTAATTCAAACGAGTCATACTAATACTGATATTAGTTACGGTTACCTTTACCTCAAAGTGGGATAATATGTCGTATACGTTTGGAACATGGGTAAGTATAGCGGACATCCTACTACCTCGACTATTACAGAAAATTCAAAGTAGATAACGTTATCGATGTCGACTACAATGTCCTCTACGTAGGTTCCGAAGGTATTTGAGTAAATCAATACATTAATTGGAATGAATTCGAATGCACCCAAGCTACCACCATCGGTTTCCACATATATAAGGATTCCGTATTCTGATAACATTGGTTCCAAAATATCTTCTGCGTATAAAATACAAATATTTTTAAATTCCTAAACTGTAGTGAAAAAGTAGTTATTTAGTTCACTTTTTTGTTTTTTTGGAAATCGAAACTAGAACACATTTATTTAATAGGGATTTTTAAAAATTTTTATATCCTTTATTACTTTCGCAAAATCTAGAAAATCGACATTTTCGAATGTATGCTGTTGGTAAATGAAAAGAAATGATCAGTTCGAGTTTTATCTTTGTTTTTCGAATATCGCTATGAACCAAGATAAATGTACGAAACTAACCAGGACTATCGACTTGAAATTATAAAGACGGATTGTGTTTGGTTTTGACGGAAGTTATATCAACTGGCGGCTCAGCGGTCAGAAAGAATTTTTTGAAGTTCAAAAATCGCATTTGCAAGGGTTTGAATTTGCAAGAAACAAATTATTTCTCGAATAGCGTTTGCGCTTTTAAAAAAAATGTTGAACAAGAGGATGTACGAGATTTTTCTAAAATGTGTCGGGTGTACCGGTTATTCACAAAAAAGTAACAACAATCAGCCATAACTGAAACACTGTCTTTTAATTGTCAGCTCTTTTCACCACTTGTTAATATTAACAATTAAAATTTCTTTCTTTTCTTAAAAACTGTTTTCCCGATAGGAAAATTTTTGGGACCAAGGAAACGGAAGCTCGACGGCCTGTTTTGGATTTTTTTGGATTATATACAGGGTTTTTCGGTTATGGGCAAAAATATAAAAAAAAATCGTTAAAATTGAGTTTTTTAGGGGAATATTATAAGTCGTAAATAAAAAAAACATAGTGCGTTACCAGAAGAAGTATAGTTGGAAATTGCTGTTACTGGTACAAATTTTATTATTTAACCTAATTTGACATGACTAAAGGTAGGTTGAATGCCTATATATGTATTTAATTTCGAAGATTTTCGATCGATTTTCGTTAAAAAAGGATTAACTGATTAATTCGATTTAATTGTTACATCAATTCCAACAACAATAGGTCATTTATTTATCAATTTCAAAATATTTTATTTTATTATTTTGAAATTAGTCTGAAGTAATACCTAGATTTTTTGACAGCCAAGGAACCCGAGTTTCATCACATTCTTAAAAACTGGGATCAACATTCTTAGAGAAAAAGGATCGTCAACCCGTGATGGCTTGGTTTTTCGAGTAAAAAAAAGCTAAATGTTTGTATGAAAAAGAAAATGTGTGCTGTGGAAATGGAGAAGATGTCGAACCTTGTTGTCTTTTCAAAGAAAGCAGAAGCCAACTTACGATCATGGAAAATGGCAAGAAATGGAAAATATGTTTCTATTTAGTACATCTAAATTAATTTTGTCAGATGAGGATAACATATTTGTAGAATTTTATATGATGAAATTAACCAAAACTAACCAAATCCACCAAATACATAGAATCATATATAGCACATTCTGTGTACTGAATAACGCAAAGACTAACTAAATTTTATATGCTCACTCACTCGAGTTGATCAAGCAGTGGCGAGAAAGACGTCACTAACTAGTCGGCACTTCCTAGAGTCCTCAAAATGGTCATAGCCAGATATAAAATTTTAAATAATGAAAAGACGAAATGGAGGGATTAGGTAACAACCTAAAAAGTTTTTTTCATATACAATACCATGTTTACCAGTTATAATTGTAGTACAAAACAGAGACAGTAATTACAAGAATAATTTGTTCAAACTCTAGGATAAACAGTTTTAAAATACACTATACAAAATACAGAAAAATATAAAAAAATATTCAAAATCGCTTTACATGTTTACGTCAAAAAAAGTAAAGTAACGAATTTCTAGATTTAGATAAGTTTATTCAGATCTAAAATAATCTATGATTTTTACTTATTATTTCTACTTACCCAATTTTTGGAATATTTTATTAGCCATATCGAAAGCAATTTTTTCCTTTGCAGAAAAATTGGTGGATTTGATTGTGTATCCCGCAACCTTTGGGGTAATATTCTCAATACAGAATGTCATTTTGTGGGCTAAAAGTGAACTAGATCAGACTCTGAATTTTTCAATACACTAAAATATTGTTTTTGCGTAAATGGGGCATGTGTGTCCAAGAAAAGGACAAAATGGCGCGTGTTAAGAAAATTTTCTTATTTTAATCTCCGTAACTAATCGGGACTTTTTAAGGGTCGGTTTATTTGGTTAGTTTTGGTAGGGTTAAATCTATAATTAATTTAACCCGACCCTGTGTAACACAAGATATTTATTTTATTATCAATTTATTGGGAACTGGCACCAATTTTTTTATTTAACAATTATTAATTTACATTTATGTGTCCAAATACCAGCGCGTAAGGTTATAATCAATATTGCAGTAAATATAAAAAAATGTAATATTAATCCGTCAACACGGTAGCTGACTTGGGTATTAATATGTAATTTAGCTTAGTGAGGATTAACGAGATCATCCTGCTAACTAATGAACTAAAGGTAAATTGGCACAATGTTGCTTCCAATTTATCTTGATAACATTGATAACAGTCTGATGCGGTTTACATTTTTTGCGCTGTTACAGGCACACATTATTCTGGGTCCGATATTTGTAGATTTAAATTTAACTGGAGATATCAACACTAATAATATGGCATGAAGATGGCACTCCACAACACAATGTCATGGAGGTAAAAAATTTCCAAATATGGAATGTCTGGATGGTAGAATAAGGAATGGAGGAACTGTTGATTAACCAGCCAACAGCCCGGACTTGTCATTACTGGATTTCTTCTGCATCACTAGGCAAACAATTACAATGGTAATCCGGAATCCAGAACTAATTAACCTAACCTAATTAGTTCATCCTTATTTTGGACACAATGCGTTTTTTAATTCTCTGCTCAATACAATTATTTCGCGTGACACACTTACGTTTTTTTATAGGCACATCGTATATTCGAACGACGTTTTCTTTTAGACATTCGAATTTCAAATCTTTCAAATGTGTGTCAATTTTGTCGGCCGACTGCGAATGTATGCGTACATTTCCATCCTCATTAAGTAATTCTTGAATATTAATTGGAGTTTCCTCGCAATATATCTAGGATATTATTGATATACGGAGTGTTTTTTTTATTGAAATGTGTCTGAGGGGTGATTTTTATTTTCATGTTAAGAAGAGAAGTTCATATGAACGTATGTCCCAAACGTCTTAATATTTCTTAACAGTTGATAGTTTAGGATATCTTAATAAAATTTGGAGTGCAGACCCTAGGCATTAAGAGGCAGTTTTTGATTTGCGACATTAATTTCCACTAATGTATCGTGAAAATATTTAGTCTGCTGCGCAGTAAACAAGAATTTCAAAATACACGTTGTTCTATTCCCCAGTTTAAAAGACTTACCTATAAAGTGTAACTTTAAGAAGTCAGCTTCATTATTTACTGTCCCGAGTCACTCTCACGAGTTAAGACGTTTAGAACATACACCACATACAATTAGAAAACACTCTGTATTTGGTGGGTTTTGGTGACTAACTGATTAGACGTTTTCAAAAAACGACATGTGAAAAAGTAGTGAAAATTTGATCATTTTAATAAGACGTCCTCTAGCAAACAAAAGTGTTGCCAGATCCTTGCTATATTTCAAATAATTTGCCAGTTGCTATATTAGATAAGCATAATATCATATATGAATCACATTGTGCAGAGCAGAGCTTCAAAATATAAAATACATATCGATATCCAGAGGGTTTTTCTTACTAGAAATTAAATTTTTAATGTTGGGAGATAAAAATAGAAAATTCCGAGCATAAAAGAAAAAAAAAGTAAAACGGAAAATAAATATCAATTTTAAGGTGCTTGTTAGAAGTAAATGGCGTTCAAAATGAAAAGAAAAAACGATCTAATTCTAGGTCAAAGTTATGCAGGATTTTCTTTAAGGAAGAATCCCCAATATACAAATTCTAAATCATTTGTGAATTATGAAGCAATAAAAAGTAGAAAAAAAAGGTTATACCTTTTTTTTCAAATATCACATAATTCAAAAAGGACAGACGCTAATTTATTGAAATATAAAATATACGGATCGTATTAGTTAAATTTATTTGCTATATCCTCATTTTTTTCATTATTAATTTTATAAGTTGGTAAGATGTTAAAATTGAATATGAAATGAAATATTATCAACCCAAAAAACTCTAATTTGTGCTCACAAATCGGATTCGGCGAATAATCCTGTACGTACCTACTAACGGCGAAATTGTTTGCAAATACATGAGGGAAAACATAACATAAATTTAACATTTAGGTAGGTGGGAATGTACCTATTTACGCTATTACTAATATAATAAAAGTATAACTAAAAATTGAAAACAAATTCTTTATTTATTACTGCATATTAAACTTAAATGATTTTGGAAGAGCGTAAATTATTATTTTTATAGCAAACCCATTTTTCTATATTGCACTGTTTACTACTAACTTTGGAGCTACATTTTTTAAAGCCTCCGAATCCTGACTGATATGCCTCCATGAGAGCAATTAGTCCATCAGGAACCTGATCTTCGAAACCTGTTGAGAATTCTTAAATATCATTTATAGAAAATACATTTTTAAGAATTACTTTAGAGGCACCTACTTTGTTAAGGTTATTTTTCAGGTTAATCACTTTTCCAACAGTGCAATACGGAAAAATGAGCTTGCTATAAAAATAGCAATTTATGCTCTTGCAAAATCATTTAAGTTAAACATGCAGTAATAAGTAAAGAATTTCTTTTCAATTTTTTGTTAGTTTTATTATATTGCCAACAGCGTGGGTACATGCCTACCTGCCTAAATGTTAAATTATATAAATATTTTATTAGTTTATTTTATTTTTATTATTTATTTGCGTTAGGTAGGTACTAAAGTTAATAGGTATATTTTATCTAATGAAGTGTTAAGTGTTTATAAGTCTCTAGTGCAGCGTATGATAAATCCATAGCTTTACTTCTGCCTTATTAACATGAGTAACAAATGATAATTACAAATCCAAGTCACAAAAAGTGTTAGAACACAACATGATATACATGTTTCTGTTCTTGTTTTGCCGGCATTTTATCAATTTGCTTAAATTTTAGTCAGCATAACGAAAAATATATTCTATGTCCGCATAATGTCGTTTTTTTGTAAAATGCCTAGGAAAAAGTCTGTTTACTGTATAAAACAAAAGTAGCATTATAATATTAAATAACGTGAAATTTTCATTTTCTATAAACGTCCAACCTGCCATCAACCGCGTATAACCCTGTATAAGCTTATTGAAGCAAAAATGCAAATTGTTACGTCTTCTTTACACCGACAGTCGTTCCAAGCGCCTTCATAAACCACTTTTGGTGGCCACGGTATTTTTTTATATCCTGCTGTATCGGTTGGCAAATGGAAATTGACGTGAATACAGTCCACTAAGCAGATAAGTTTGGTGAGTAGAATTTCTTGGCCGCACCCCACGAAACATCGAATGTAAATTTCTTCAAAAATTCCTAGGTCATGACACGTCACTTTTAAATCAACCCGTTTGCTACCAGAAGGGCCTAGTCTCCCTACAACATAATAGTTGTATAAGTATCAGAAATATAATAACAATTATAATAAATAATAATAATGATAATGCTAATAATAATAATAACTGTAATAAAAATAATAAATATTACAATATGAGTAAATAGTTATAACATATGTTATAAATTAATTTTAAAAATATTATTTATAATTTCGGCTTACCAGTAAATACTTTTTGTTATAATAATTCCTGATTTGTTATGCCATGTAAGAAAATGATCAACCAAAAATCAAAATCGTAAAATAGAGATCACATGTGTAGCATAGGGCTTGGTGCTATGAAACTTGTACTGTACTGACAGTATCTTGAGACTCCATGCCCCAGGAGGATTCAGACTGCTTGTCTACGCGAATTATTTAAAGATAATGATAACAGTGAAAACCGATAACCGTATTGAGGAGATAGCCAACAAGGTCCTAGAGAAAGTGGTTGACTGGATGAACATCAAAAAGCTCAAACTTTGCCCGCAGAAGGCAGAGGTGGTTCTGCTTGCAGCTGGAACGATAAGATTTGCTACCATCAACTTAAGCGGGATAAGGATTTCCACACGAGATGCTATCAAATACTCATGTGTATATTTAGACAAAAATCGCCATATGAGTTATGCCAAAAAGATAGCGGAAAATGATGGCAAGGTAATAAGAAAACTCAACTGGAAGCCCAAACCAAAACTGAAATGCAACAAAAATATACAAAATCCAAAAGCAATGCACAGTATCGCACTTATGGTAATCGCTCATACCCTACCAATAGACATAATGGAAAAAAAAGAGAATTAGTGCGTCAATGTGAACAAAAGAATCAAGAACGAGGGTCGTATACCCAATAATTAGCAAAAAAATTCTAAGAACCAAGGCAACTTAGATATGACAAACCATTTGATAAAGACAAAGTGTTGCCGAAACAATTGTCATGTCAAAATATATAATTTCGTGAAAATCTGAACTTTTAGTTCTTATTTATTATGACAAACCTTCTTTGACGTAACATCATGAAGGTCATCTCAAAGAAGAACACAGGACCCTTTTATTACTTTTATCTGAAAATATTTTGCCTCTAATATCAGTATCTAGATTCAATTTAATGTATTGGCACGAAGAAATTCTTTTATATCTTTTAGACCCTTTTTACTCTTGAAGGTCTGTTAGCGTAGCATTCAATGCAGGAGATTTTGAAATCTGGGGTAAGCAACCAATACACTGCCTTCTTTTGTCGTGGACCTCGAATGCAGACCAACCCGACCAAGAATCTAAAATAGCTATGGTGGATTGTCCTTATTATCGGTAACAATGGGCGATCAAGGTTCAGTTAGAACAAAAAACGAAAAAACAGTTTATATTGTGCGATGGTAGAAGAAAATTGAACCAGTGGAGCACGCCTATGTCGAACAATTCGCAAAGAAACTAAAAAAGGAAATGGAAATAAGAATATGAAGAGGTGGAGCTGTACGAAAGATGTATGTCGTAGACAGTGGCAGAGTATCGATAACGTCAGATCAAAGAACAATGGTAATAATTGGTAAATATGTAAAAAAGGCAAACTAGTGGACATGGCGACCTACATGCAAAATTGGTCGATTGAATGTTTGAATTTGAATTTTCAATTCGAATAAAACACTAACCAACTTATTAATTAAACTGACTTACCAAATAAAGGTTTATATTTAATGGATATTTTGTTTGCATCCTTTCCAACATGTTTCAGGAAATAGAAACATCCAGTTATCGTGCTCAAATTTTTTAATTCAATCGATATGATTACGGGGACATCCGTATATAATATGTGCCCCGGTGTGATGACAGGATCGTCCGAATCGTTTGTTTTTATGACGACATTTTGTTTAACAATCTCGTATGTCACCAAGCAGGCATCTTCGGCTTTTAGCTCGCCATCCTTCTCGCTATAGAGTATTAAAATGGACAAATGCTGAGTTGCACTTTTGTTGACAACTCTGTATATTAGGCAATGTTTCCCGCCAGGTTTTAGGTACCCTTCGTCGCTGGATAAATTTGAGTAGCGCTCAATTTCCATATAAGGGGAACGATCGACATAGTAGCTAAGCTCGACTAATGACCATCGCACCTCGTTTGAACTCAAATTTCTTAAGAACAATTTCCCTTGATAATCGATACCCTCAGGCACCGTTCCAAATTCCAAGAATGATTTCGAGAAAACTATTGTCGGTATCGGTGGTTGTAGTTTATTGTGCCTTAAACAAATTGTAGCTAATGTTAATCTGCGCAGGGTATTCAAAATATGGTTCCCCACGTCCTGAACTCAGAAACTTCGAACGAGAGAGATAAAGTTAAATATGAAAGTTGCATGGTTCCATCTAGATTTTTTTAATCTTAATTTATCATATATACTGAGTGTCCTGTTTATCTAGGCTAAATAACAGCTTATTTATTATATAGAGTAAATATTTTAGATGTAAATTAATACAGAATGAGCAAAAATTAAATTATAAAAAAACGTAAAATTTGATAATATGGTTATATCGAATTACTTGGTAACAAATTCTACTACAAAACCCTTATAAATGATCCGCAGGTATTCGCCGCTTTGTTACTTTACTTTTATTATAATTTAATTATGCTTCATAATTTATTTATAATCAACTTAATATTTTTTTTATTTTTTGCCAAAAAACTAAAAAAATTCCCAAATAATTTATGTGGTCAAATATTTTAATCTGTTTGCTTAAGACAGGAATAAAATATTAATTTAACTAAACACACCTATTTATTATTTTTTTTTAAATTGAAAAATAAGCATTTTGCATTGGTTCAGTAGCAAGCCAAGTACTAAGATATCAGCCAATACCGGGTTTTTTCTACTGCCAATTAGTAGAGGTAAATGTCAACAGTGATATTTAAAATGGCAGTAACTGGAAAAAGCCACACAACATTGTTTTTAAAATGCATTTTTTTTAAATTAAGTTATTTTGTGTGCATTAACTTTTTTTTAATCTTCACAGAGTTATTAGTTACATATACAAGTTACAAGTAACATATATAAAAACCACAAATAAATTGGCAGCCGTTTAGGGTGCTAATAAATTAGTGTTTTATCATTGTTTTTTAAAAATATTTTGCCCATGCATAAATAAATTTAAAAATATGAGCAACACAAAACAAAAACCAAAAAGTCTATTTGTTTCAATGGAAAAATGCATCAAAAGCGTTCAACACAAATTTCTGAAATTACTTTTAAGTGAGACTCACATAACTACAGTCTCTTTAGAGCATAACAATTACTCTAACAATTATCTTGAGTTCCCATGCCAAATTCTAGAAATTTGCTTTCAATTTTTGCTAATTGAGATATAATTTTTTTTAAAAAGTGCAGATATTGGGCGGAGAAGAAATAGATCAGAAGTTGTTTATGTCAGTTTTTGATCCTTGCATAAGAAGAGGTTTTATTTCTCCTAATTTCAGTTCCTTTTTATATCTATTTCTTTATTACTCTCTCCCTCGTCTTTTGAATAGTTAAGTAACTTAAAAAAAAGTTTCCTAGATTTCCACAAATTTATTATTACGACAAAAACTACAACAATTAGAAAATTATACTTAAAAGGTGCCGTTAATTTCTGTAGTTTCATAAATAAATTTGTTAAATTGGTAGGTTCTTACTCAACAGTTTTCAGCTCTGGTTGGCGAGATGGCGACTGGGTATCCATACAACAAGCAATCTCGACTTCTATACATTGAACATCAACATTCTGCAGAATATTTTTGCTATTACTATACACAGTCAAAAATGAAACACATTTTTACCGAGCGATTTTCTATGGCATTTTCCAGGGACTCCTCTTTGGTAGATACCAAAAAATATTCATTTTCGTTCAAACTAATTACAGGCACATCGCTTATAAACAGTCTAAAAGAATATATTTCTAAAACTTCACTAGATATTGGCAAAATAAACTTACGCTAAATGCACGCAATTATATCCGGGCTTCAGTTTATCCGTGTAGACGTACAACAAAATTTCCTTGCATCCGAAAGGGACCAGCTTGTTTCCTTCAATTCCCATTTTAATCCACTCCGCGTTATTACGATGGTCACATTTGTTTCCCCATCCGATGAAGAACTTTAGAAACATCGGGCTGCAAAAAAAATCTTATCAAATAATCAAGTAAAGTTGACAATGCTGTTACACAGTGTTAGGCAGTTTTTACTTTTATCGCACAAAAAAGGATTAAAGGTTTTCCTTGCTTTGGATATATCGAAACACCGAAATAAAATTCGGACTCAATAAACTGTTTTCTACTTAAGAAAATTACTCCAAATATATTTTATACAGATTTTTTAAAATTAATCTGACTTGAAAGACGACGACCTAGTCACAAAACATAATTTCCTGAATTTTGGATCACTTAATAAGCCAACGTTCAAGATCCAGATCTATATGGCATTCATGAACGTAACACTCGTTGAATCATGCCGGAAAGTGAAAGAAGAATTTTGTGTCAAATTTAATAAATAATAATAATAATAATAAGTTCTCACGAATCTCACTGCCATATTCAAGGTCCAAAATATATTCGTTTCGCTTCGTTGTTGACGACAAAATCAACGGCCATATTTTTTAGGTTGGCCTTAGAGCTGAAAGGTGCCGTAATAATTTGAAAAATATATTACCAGATTTGCCAGAAGAGAGGAAACCTACTTCCAGCAGAATGGTGCCCCAGCACAAAATTCCCAAATAGTTAATAGGTATTTGGAGAAATAATTTCCACAGAGCTCGATTACAACCCGTCGGTCCGTGCTATGACCCGCGAGGTCGCCTGACATATCTATTTTAGATTTTTTTCTAGGGACACTTAAAACGTAATTACGTGAATAAGGTACGTGAATCCGTGAAGCAAGCATTTTTACAAATAGAACCAAGACCTCGTAAATACCCAAAGAAGAATTAGCAAAGTACGTGAAAAATGCCTGGAGACTGATGGAAATCAGTTTGAGAAGTTTTCTTATATTTTGTATTTTGCGGTTTGCACTTAACAGATAGAAAACAGGAACAGTAATTTTTGTTTATTTGAAAAACTGCATTTAAGCAATTATATATTTTTCAAAAACCCTAAATATACAATTTAAGAAAGGACTACTTTGGTTCGTACTTTCTAAAAGAAAAAATTTTAATCTACGTAAAAAAATCTATAGGGTCCGTTTTTATCATCTCATTACGAAAGAGGGCGTTTAAAATACAAAGAGTAAGTAAAATAGCCAAATTTTGCTGTTTTACCGATTATCCCATAAACAAAGACAGCTAGGAGCGTCGAGCACAGTATTTCAAAAACCGCATCGCTCCATCCCTAATAACTAATAAATAATAAGACAAGCATTTTTCCATTAAGATAAGAAGGTTTGGTTCCAGATTTTTGAATTTTAATATATCTGATATAATGTTGGGATTTTCAGTAATTAGGAATTTGGTAAAGAAACGTCGAATGTAACTAGAATAATCTTCGAATCTAATGTAACGGTTTTCAATTTTTCAATGAAATAAAAGGAATTAAATACGATACTATCAGTTTTCCCTGTAAAGGGTTTTATCCAGATATTTTGCCACAGAATATATTGGCGAACCAGTGGTGCTGACAGTAGGTCGAAGGGGTAATCCTAGTTTGTTAATCATAGGGCGTCCGTAGAGACGAGGAATTTTAGAGTCATGAGGGGTGACAAATTTGTTCACGGATTCTGATAAAGAGGAAGCCTTAATGTTTCTCCTTCCCCGTAAAACAATATATAAACAGGTACAGAGCAGAATGCGAGCCAATTTTAGTTAAGCTCCAGAAGATTTATAAACACATGAATTTGAAAATTTTGATAGATTAACTTTATGCCTCTTCTATGCTTTTCCGACCCTTCCCCTCCCCTCTTCAGAAATGATTTGCTGTTTTTGTTAACTAATAGCCCCCTAACGTTTAGTTAGTTAGGTATTTTAACGTGAGTTTGGTTCAAATTTCCTATGAACACAGCGGTCCAACAGCGTTTGATTCCAGCGTATTATTCCCTCGATTATTCTTTCACTTTACTTAGTCGATTTTGGAAGAAGTGAATTGAAACTAATTAGTAATAATCAATTTGCGGCTTTTCTCCTCGTTTTACAAAGTACACGTCTTACGAAACAAAACCAAATATACTCAGGTTGAAATACAAAATTGTCACCAAATGTTGCAAATCAAGAATTGGCGAAAGTCTACAGTAACCAAAACAATTACAGATTATAAAGATTAGCGTACCTGTTGTTGAAAATTTCCAAAGTAACAGAACGGACAACATCTACACTGGTGCGCCCTAAAAATATGCAATGGTTTCCGCTTTTAGCAATATCTTGCTCAGACGGGTTAACCTAAAACCAAACATGCGGAACCATTTCAAATTGAACATTTATTTTGATTTTAACTTACGAAAACGCTTATTATTCCTCTTGTAAAGTAGACGGCGTTTCCAAAAATTTCTAATGGTTGGCAGTAATTACTATCGCTAATCAAATACAGCGATTCAATGTGAGTCCCACAAGATTGAGGGTGGAAAATGATGCATATTTCTAAAATTTCCTTTGAGCCGAGTTCAAAGTAAGCAGGCCTAATTAAAAAACTGCTAGTCTGAAGCTCATTGGAGTCCATCTACAAATAAACACTTGATCACTACGTCAACCTAACCAGCAAAGGTGGTTGGTATATTCAAATTTGAGATACGTGAAAACTCTTGTTAGGAAATACAAATTTTAACACGCTATTGCACATATTAAATAAATACCTTCAAACGTCTACGTTCTTGACATTAAAAAAAAAACATTTTTTGAACTAAAACAACCGCAACAATTGGTATAAGCAAAATTATTAAGTCCATCTACAAGGAAACACTTTAAGTCTACGTCAACCAAACCACCAAAGCCACCAGCCAGCAAATTTGGTTGCTAAATTCGACTTTTAACCTATCGCTTGCTTCAGTTAAGAATTAACAACAAGTTTATTATATGCCTAGATAAAGAGTGAACTGCTAAAATATGGAAATATCGAACAAATTAATTTTAAAATCAGGTATTGGAATTCAAGAAAAATGTTGGCACAAGACCATCATAGCTTTTTTCTTGTTCATTTTTTGTATTTACGGGAAAATATACAGGGTGCGTCAAAGAGTAGATGTTCAATGCCAAATTCCTTTTTCGAATTCTGCGTCGAATTTATTAGGTTTGAAAACTCTTCCAATACAATACTCAGGATATTTTCATTAATATGTCTTATTTCGTATCTGATTCTAAATTACAGTTTATCTAAATGTTGTGGTTTTTCTTTACAGATCGTTCTATTGATTCCCTTCTATCAGCCATCGCCTGGCTATAGGGTATTTAAATATTCACGCAGTTGTCGAGGAAACTGGGGCAGAGCACAATCGTTCTGAAATTTGGCATACTAGTAATTTTAACACTAAATAATTTCAAAGAAATTGTAAATATCAGGCTCCAGTAATATTTTGATCGAAGAAAAGAGGTTTAATAATTTTGTTTTGCAATATCAAATCCCTGCCCAAACATTTATTTTTTATGGATGATTATATCTCATCCGTCAGGGATTCTTTGTACTCCAATTTACCAAAACCTGACGATCACTAAACGGTATCTGATGATGAAAAAATGGATTTCAGTTGCACATGTAGTGATGTAATTTGGTACGAAAGATAATGTTCTTCTTTTAATACTATACACAATAATATGTAACATACGCAAAACTATTCGTTGGATAATATAATTATTTCAAGCTACTTCAGAAGATGCTCGATGGGGATTATCCTCAACTTCTGATTGAATGTTTAATCTTGTGTTCTCATTACAATTTCTATTAATTTTATCTCAATTTTACCCACTGTTGGATATTGTAATGGTTCTTTATGATATTTTGATAAATTGAAATTTCAGTTCTCTGGGTTTCATTGACTGACAAAAATATTATTGAGACAATGTTCATTTCGAAATTAAATTTCTGTTTTTATTCCTTTGCCCGTAAAAAGTAAGGGATAGATTAGGGTGTGCTACATCAATTATACATGAAATTTGACGCAGAATTCGATAATGGATTTTAAAAAGTGGTGTTTCATTAAAAAAAAAATTGATAGCATCCTCTACTTTTTGCGAAACCCTCGTATATTTGCTGATTACTGCAAAAAATTCGCAAGAAAAACTTATGATGGACGTGTGCGAGCATTTTTCTTGAAATGCAATACCTGATTTTTACATGAATTTGTTCCATATTTTAGCAAATTCGCTCTATACACTAGTCGAGATCTATGTCAACACCTGCTGTGTTTACAAAATAGTCCAGAATAACCTTTTGATTAACTTGTTATAAAGTTAATCCATTAATTCACAAAACCTTCATTAATAACGCAGGATTCCCAGTAATCTGGAAATGTTTGACTATTCACAAATGGTTAATTATTTTTCATTTTAAAAAAGCAAGGATTTATAATAGTATTATTAAACTTTGTTTGACTGTTCTAATTTCTGACATGTAACATTTAATTGCCATTGATGTGACCGAGCGCAATTGTTTATCTGCTATAAAGTGGCATTTCTAAAGACTGACCCTTCTCGAAACTTCCATGGTTTATAAATTATTTTTCGACACCATATAATATTCATTACAAACTAATGAAAACTAAATTCATTTTTCAAAAAAAACTTACTACTGCAAAAATACTTACAAATCTTCCAGATTTCTAGTGCGTCGGTTATTCAGAGCTTAACTTAAACTGACTCGCATTCTACTTTGTACCTGCTTATATACTGTTTGAGGATGGCGGAGCAAAAGGACATCAAATCCTATTCGGTTGCTGAATATAATCTATTCCATTAGAACCAAAGAAAAATCCTAGAATCTATAGAAATCTATAGGCAACCAAACAATCTTTCACCAATAAGGGAATCAATCATCCGAGGTAATGTTTATGGCTCACCTTTAAATCCGTTCCCTCAAATAGTATATAAGCGGGCACAGAGTAGAATGTGAGCCAGTTTCAAGTTAAGCACTGAAGAAGCCAACAGGATGATTAGCGAAACGTCAGTAAGTGGCTACACATTTTAAAATGGCACTTGGTTTCGGAGTCAACATTGAGAAAATACTTCAACCTTAAGCCAATGGTATGTGGTCGCATAGCAAGTCATATTGGCACTTAGGTGTTCGAAAGAAGGAAGAAAGACTCAAATAACGTGAACTTGTGTTATAGAAAAAAAAAAAGTAAGCGGGTAAAACATATTAATATCTAGAATAGAAATGAAACATTTCAGAGACCTTAGCGGCAAAGTCTGCAAAGATCTGAATGCAAGTTTTCAAATCGATGAAGACAAATTACAGCTTAGACTCAACATCATCTTACCGAAAAGTATTTATCAAGCCAATTCTCCTTCGACACCATAAGGAAACGGCTGCCATAACCAACATTTTTTAGTATCAAAGTTAGAGGCACACATTTAGTCACAAAACAACTTCCGCAATTTATCGATAGATTTTGCGAACTTTGATCTACTTTCGCAAAAAAAGTGCCTTCTTCTATGGTCTTGTATATGTATCCATAAAGTTTTGGTGGATCACGAGTGCTTCTGATTTTTACCTTAACGACGTCGCCTTAAAAAGAAATCATAAGAACGTGTTTTGTCACAGATAAGAGGCAAACGGTGCCTATTTGACAAGATGTTTGGATCGACACTCATCTCACTCATCTTACAAACATTTGTTGGTATTACTTTTACAGAATAATTCAAATATTGTCATGGTATTACAACTGTTCTCACAAAGGAGATATTTCCCACCCATAACTTTTTTTAAAAGTCTTTCGTTGGTAATACTTTTTTATGTACTTTTTATAATAGAATTTGATAAAGAAAAAATTTTAAGTATTTTTCTTTCTTCCTCTTTGGATATTTATTTCCACCACTAACCTTAGGAAATTCATACCTGTTTTTATAAATATACAACACATCATATTTTTTGCGGCATTATTTTCGGTAGAGATCGATGTTTTAAAAAAATGTGCTCAAAGTGTATGGCGGGCGGGGCACCACGCTGCGGGAGTATTTGGGATTGAGGTTATGTGCAGTTTTTGCTACTTAACCGGTGTTACATAACAACTCGAAATAGTTCGCATTTTGCTTTTCTTTATGAATTTTAAAACGATAACCTTTTGCATTTATTTGTAATGTATATGAACACCAAGTCAGTATTTAGACAAATAAATTGATGATGGTGATATGCAAACGAATGCAAATTTATTTATTTTAATACAGTCATTTTCTAGACGTCAAAAACTTCTCGTTTGTATGCTACCATCATCAGTTTATTTTTATTTAATACGGTTTTTATAATTATTACGAAAAAAATGCAACAAGCTAATTGTTTTTAAGTTTATGATGGTTTCTTGTAAACGAAATGTATTTAAATTTAAATATAACATGTGAAAGAGCGCGCGAACAATAATAAAACTCTCAATCTTATTTATTTATGAGGAAATTTTTATATTTTCGTAAGTCACTGTGTTTTTCGGAATGTAATAGAAATTTAGGAATTTTTTCGACAATCTTTTTCGAGTTTAACGATAATCGCAACTTTAACAGTCGCAGATACCAGTACGGTCTCTATGAATTAGACGATATCCTGTATAAACAAATATTTAAGGAACGAACCTTTCGTGCTTTTAAATATTGCTTCATCGTCAACCATCGAGACTCCTTCCTGAGTGTAAAATACTCTCGCATTCAACGACATTCCGGGAGCCAGTTTACCACCACCAAACTCTATTGTAACCTGAGATGCCTTTGGAAGCTTAATAATGCTTACACCATCCAATTCGGAATGAACATTGATAATTTTAATCGTTTTCTACAAGAATCAACAAAAATGTCCGGTGATTCGTTATTGATGGCAAGGTACTAAATCTAGAGAACTAATAGTCGAATTAGTTTGGGAAACAATCCATAGGAATATCAATCGAATCAAAAAAATGATGAACTTGGAAACTGAAGAATGCAGGAAGGATCAATTTGACATGCGCGTTTTTTATTTAAGTCAGCACAAGGTTTTAAAACAAAAAGACACAATATTTAGGCAGTTTCAACGTGAAAGGACTCTTTCTCCACCTATACTAAGAATTTCCTAAGGAAAATGCATTCTTTATATCACCTCAGCAATTACGCATCCTAGCAGTAGATATAGGAACTTCAAAAGTATTTGCAGCAATTTTCTTCCTCAACTCCTATGACCAATAGTATTGTTTATATGTCAAAAAGAGTCATTCAACATTACAATTTTAAGCTAACCAAAATCTGGCGTAAAAAAAATTGTGTTGTGAGAACGTTTTTATATGTAATAATGTCATAAAGTATAATTTTGCCTTACTTCTCATTGTCTTTTTTATTAATTTTTTCCGATTTTACAAAAAAAAATAGCATAGAACTATAGATAGACGTCCTTCGTTATTTTATCTAAATATACTATAAAGTAGCATTGATATTTGGTTAAAAATTGGTATGCGGTTTTTTTACAAGCGAAATTTCAATATGATTTTAGCATGGCTCCGACTTGTAGGGACACCCCTTCATATTTCACTTCTCTTTTGAAGTGAAGAGTAAAGGTAAGATAAAGGAAAATAGATTTCGCTATCTTTTTTACGTAAAATCGGTTTACTATGTAGAAGTCGCCATGAGCAGCTGTTCTCGAGATATTAGGCCTTATAATAATCAATGCATTAAATTTAAAGTTTCATTTTAAAATTATTTTCGCTTTATTTTATAATTCTACTACTTTCAAAAAATGCAGTTATTTATTTTAATTATTAATTAATTAGCAGTACAACAACGAATATCTTTCTACAATTCCCTTCAAAAGCTGCGCTTCAAAATTGCTGTATTTGGTTATCACTTTAAGTTCAGAGTGGGCAAAAATTCCAATTGCTTTGCAAAGCTCTAAATCGTAGCACAATATTTTATTAAGCCCCACACAAGACTTTGTCAAACAGGTGTTTTAAGAGGCCTGCAGTTTTTTTAGAACGACTTAGATAGAACAGCTCAGAGCGTGGAAGCAGTCCAAAATGAATTTTACTACTCGCAGTGGTATTAAACTTTCAGGATGTAACTGTATGACAGATTTTAAGAAATTAGCAGCCTTACCTATTACCATATTCAACAAGTACAGGCAGGCCCCCTTGCCTAAAGGATTTTCCTCTAAGAACACCACTTTGATATTGATTAAGTCATAGTTCAATACTCTTAATATTCGGTGTTATTTTTATTGATAATTTTTTATGATAATCAGGTATGGGCTAAAATTTATCCAAAACCTCTCTAATTATATAATTTCCAAATATAGTATTGTTTCAAAGTTTGGGTGGGAATCATTGATGTCCACTTCATTGAACGCCAACTTTTTTTAGAGAACGTTTCACCTGAAATTTTAAAGGAATTTCAAGAGTGATATATGCGCAATATTAATTAATTAACTAATTAACAAAATAGTTCAGCAGTCAATATAAGAAAATCATAACTCATAAAAAAAAAGATGTAAATTCTATTATTTACTTAATTAGACCCATTTTTCAACAGCTGCAACTATAATAAAATGTCTGTATTTATACTGACTATGAATTTGTTAGTTGCTAATAAAAAGTTATCGGCATCGGCCTAAAAACGGCATTATTTGAGATGGCGGCCATCTTTAGGAAAATGTTTGTTGTACTGCCTTTTAATTAAATCGAATTAATAATTGAAATAACTAACTGTATTTGTTAAAGATGGTAGAATTATAAAATAAAGTGAAAATTATTTTAAAATGTTGGAACTTTATTATTGATCGCTCGATTATTTCAAGCCCTAATATCTTACTTTAAGAAGACCGCAGAGTATAAATTTCCATCTAAATACCAAAATTACTTCAAACGTTATTAAAAAAAAATAAAACTGTAACGCCCTGTATCTCAAAAACGAAAGCCTTGCGGACCAAATTTATATGAACTTCTTGTCTTAAAATTAACTAGGAAATCTTTCGTATTTAATCACATAACATCATCTATACATGTTTGTACAAAAAGCAGTAACCTACTGTTTTTTTATTCAAAAATATGACATTTACTCCATGTATGGAGACTTAAAAAATGGAAGTTATGCAAACAACTTTTTTTCGAATTTTTAAATTCGAGTTGTAACTTCTGTCTTTGTAAGTCGAACAAATAATGAGATAATATAGATTACGCTAGAAGTTTCTCCACTTTTGCAATTGTGAAACACCACTTCTTCAGGACAAATTTTCAAGACCGGTGCTGCTGTGTCTCTAATTTCAACATGTTTACTTTTCTTTCTGCGCCTGAAACCAAAACTACACATTTGTTGCGTTATTTCAATTAATATTATCTTAAAATTACTTCGTTCGTTTAACTTTAATGGACTCTCTCGTAGTTTCCGAACACAATTTGCAACTGCGCAGGTCTGGATTAAACCTAAAATCTAAAAATTTATTGTTAGCAATTGACTGTAGAGAAACGTTTGTTTAAGATTGTTGGAAAGTATTTCTAATTTTTTTAAACTAACGCATGGTTTCTGTTTTTGGTGGATAATAAATTTATAATAAATAAAAGCATAAATATTATTACTATCCTAATATAAAATCAAGTTACGGTATTAAAAAAAGGACGGCTCTAGAAATTTGAAAAAAAATGTATGCAAATCTGCCAAGAAAAAAAAAGGAAAATACTGATTATTTCAATTCTACTTAAATAATTCAATAATAAATAAAATTAGTTAGTCCTTAACAATTGTTCACAATATTTTTAATTAGTTTGCGTGAATTAAATAAGTGATAATTATAAATTAAAACGGACGAAGATATTAACACCGGCTAATGTATTCTACTGGATAATTTTGTGCGCTTCGAAGTATTTAAAAAAAAAAGGAATAAAGATAAGTAACCAAACTTCGAGAAGTCACTGTAATAACGGAATCCTGAAGATTTGTAAATATTATTTGGCACTCTAAATCATAATTTAGCATTTCATTTGGTACATTCGGGATAATTAACAAAATTCAAACTTTTTATTTCGGGTTGAGATAAAAGATTTTGGGAAGCAGTTTTGACCAGCACGTTTTACACTTTTTAATAATCTAATGTAGTAAATAAGCATATTATTGCATTTTTCAGCAAATTGTAATTAGAATCAATTCATTCTAACGGCTTCGAATTTATAAAAATGCTTAAGCCTTTTTCGCGTTATCGACATTTATTTGAGAAAATATTCGAACACCCCCCACTACTTTCCTTTGAAAGACCATGAAACAAATATTTGAATTTCAAATTTCTAGGATAATCCGTTTTCCTAATATCGTGCCTCGTTAGCTTTACTGGGACAGCCGGTATATATTTTCTCCGTATTTCTTCATCAACCTACATTGGCAATTAACGAAATTATTAGTTAAATCTGCTAAATATTTATTTTAATCTATTACTTACTTGATTTAAATTTTAAAGAATTGCGTATGGTATCAATGTAAAGAAATATGTCACTCTCAAACGTCATTTTTGGCAGGCATTATTAAAATCGCTTTCATTGCTAGCCGCCATCTTAAAGATATTTTAACGGTAAAACATAAAACTTTGTATAATCACAAATTTTCAAATTTTTGCTAATTAAAGTATTCTCATTATTTTCTATTAAAAAAGTTAACGTTGTTTTGTACTTTTCCACCAAAAGATAACTTTTTTTGTTTAAATTTGCAATCATCTCTCGAGGGAATATTGTCGTCATCCAGTTTAACAAAAATACAGCCTGTTACTAGTTTGAACTGCTAAACAAAATTCTCGTTCAAAATATATTTAATATTTTCCAATACTTTTGTGTTGGCACTTATAACCTTAAACTATTTATTACTTGCAAAATCTTACCTAAATATCGCCGAAACTGATCCAGATCAGACTTTGAACTTTCGCTTGTCTCAGTAAGGTTCAGATTCCCAACTTCCTGGCATTTTTCTAACGTCGAGTGTAACATTATTTTCTGCGCTTCATCTCTAACAATCTTAGTATCGTCATTTAAATTATTCTTTAAAAAAATTAATAATTGCAAACTTCTCAGCGACTATGTAGAATTAAAATTGCAAATAGCACCTCAATAACACTATCGTCGCGTTCTTTAACACTGCTATCGTCGTGGATAAAACATTGAGCTACATTTTGGTTAATTTCTTCAGTTAACACTGGCTCAGTATAAATCTCAGGGAACACTTTCCTGAAAATGGCAGTTATTTTGTGGTTATCACCAGTACTTGATAAACGGGGCGCAAAATTCATTTTAAATATTTTTAATGTCAAGATGTCATATGTGACTCAAAGCTTAAATGACGCAGACGCTATCACGAAAACCAACTCGGTGTCTCTAATTATTTAGATGGTAAAAAGTTTTCCAAGATATTACAAGTTACTTTTGTCCTAAATATGCCTTACTTAGTTAACTATAAACTATTAACTAAATTATATATAATTCAAACAACACAGCTTGAATGATCTAAAAATAATAACATGGGTCAGTTTGAAGAGTACGAAAGCTTCTTTGCTTTGATTTCTTAATGCAATTGTTTTTTAATTAGTTTGACATTTGAAAACAGGTTTCCACTCACGATAGGATACCAAAGCGTAAATAAATCTTCGTCACTTCAATGAACGTTGCCGAAACGAAAACGAGTCGAGAATGGGTGAACATTGACTCCAAATAAGATCTTCAATGAACGTCAGTAGATATGGATAAATGCATGGTATCAAATAATACAAAAAAGCTACGCCAAATATTTGCTTTGAAGTGGAAAAAAGTGTAAATTTGAATCGATTCGACCGATCCTGAGAACAATTAATTTAATAAAATTTAACTTAAAGTCTTCTAAAATATCAGTATGGGCCTAACGAAGAACTAAAATCGAAAAGCCACGATAAAATGCGGTTCAGGTGAAGTAATGCTATGGGCCTATATGGCATTTGCCGGAGTATGCAATATGCATTTCATGGAGGTCAATAAAAATTAAATATTGATGACAATTATGGGTTCTATCAAGACAATGATCCAAAACACAGGTCAGTCTAGAAGCCATTATTGATAATGAGGGAGGCCGGAACAAATATTATCAAGCGTATAATTTTTCAAAGAAACTTCCACAATCATCCTGTTGGCTTCTTCAGAGCTTGACTGAAACTGCTCTGAAAAAGCTAACAGGTTGATTGGCGAAACGTCAGCAATTTCGACTAAGCAAAAACCGACGCAGGAGGAATCCAGAAGTTTTGTAAAAAAAATTATCAAGCGTATTTCATATTTTGTAGTTTTTCTTCTCTATTTATTTTCTTTTGTTTTTGGATAAAAGTGTATTATATGTATATTTTTTTAAGACTACTAACTCAATTTTCAACTAAATAAAAAGACGCTGAGACCAGTTAGTTGTTATAGCGACTCCATCATTAAAGCTGGGGACACTGTACACCGTGTGCCAAATAAAACGATCCAGTATACGAACCGAAAACCCATAGGAGATACGAAAAAAAGTTTCCTACAAAAGTTTCTTGGACACTCCTGAAGATTGTGAAGATTTGTTGATACAGGGTATTTCAAAAGTGTCCCTCCCACATCATCTTTGTTACGGAGCACCCTGTATATTTCGACATTTTTGGAATCTTCGGTTAAAATAATGATCACTTTCTTAAAAAATTCCAATTTGAATTTTTTTATAGTTTAGGCAGAAATTGAAGTTGTGTGTTTTTTCATATTTTGATTGCCTCATATAAAATTGTGTTGCGACGCTACTGATCCAGGTATTGCAACGAAAATTTAACCGCAGACTAAGGAGATGATGCACTACTCAATCAGTTTGATAGATGCGCCTCAGCTCATACAGGGTATCCCAAATAGATGGTGCCGTTTTGGCGAATTCAATTAACAAAATCGCAAGATTTTCAAATGTAACACCCTACATTTTTATTCAGATATCAATTCTAGGACAAAAAATAAGGTAAGTTTGTAATTTATCTTATATTTCAATTTTACTTACATTTTTAGATATTCGGGTTTTAAGGTCACACCCGTATAAATTCTTGTTGAATTTAAAGCTGCCCACATTAAGTCACTTTTTGACATTATTAGGTATTTTTGAAATAGCGAAGACATGATACTACTTCTTTTAAAGATATAATACTCTAGATATACGAATAAAACCTATTGCTAACAATACAGGGTGTCCATAAATATGTGGAAATTTTGAAAAAAGTTTACTCTATACTACACATTTTAACAGACTTAATAAAAATTCAGAATTCGTATTTAAAGACACATTTAATAGCTAATTATCTAGCTTGATTAAAAATACCTAATAACAAAAATAAATAATTAAAGTTTATAGGCTAACTAACCAAGGTAACAAATTTGAATAAAAAAGTCTATAAAAAAAGTTAACTAAAAATGATTCGTTAATTCGGTCCATAAAGTTTAATTGAAAATGTTCCTTTTAAAATGCTCGTTTCATCTGGCATCAAAACAACAACAAAATATCAAAATATTTAAAAATGTAGTTGGCTAAGACGACACAATATTTTTCTTGACGCATTAAGGTATTAACAAACTTTGACATTTCTGTTTGTTATTGTACATATCTCTATTTAAAAGTTCATAGTTGTCAAATTTTTTATTAGTATATATTTTATTTGAATTTTAAATAAGCTATAGTTTTTTGGGTTAACCTATGAACTTTAATTATTAATTTTTGTTATTAGATATTTTCAATCAAGACAATTAACTAATAATGTTTCTTTGAATATAAATTCTGAAGTTTTATTAAATCTGTTAAAGTGTTTAGTATAGAGTCGATTTTTTTCAAAATTTCCAAGTATTTATGGACCCTCTGTATTGTTAGCAATAGGTTTTATTCGTATATCTCGAGTATTACATCTTTAAAAGAGGTAGTATCATGTCTTCGCTATTTAAAAAATACCTAGTATTGCCAACAAGTCACCTAATGTGGGCAGCTTTAAATTCAACAAGAATTTATACGAGTGTTATCTTAAACACTGAATATCTAAAAAAGTAATAAAATTTAAATAAAACATAATTTACAAACTTACCTTGTTTTTTGCCATAGAATTGATATCTGAATAAAAATATAGGGTGTTCAATTTGAAAATCTTAAGACTTTGTTAATTAAATTCGCCAAAAAGCTACCACCTATTTAGGACCCTTTGTATAAGCTGAGTCGCCTCTGTCAAACTGATTGAGTAATGCATCATGTCCTTACTCTATGGTTAAATTTTTGTTGCAATACCTGGATCAGTAGCGTCACAAGACAATTTTATATGGGGCAATCAAAATATGAAAAAAAAACACATAACTTCAATTTCTGCGTAAACTATGCAAAAAGTATATAGGGTATTCCATTTAAAATAACAAAGTTGACGTCTGGGGGGACACTTTTGGAATACCCTATATCAACAAAATTGTAAAATTTTAAATCTTTAGGAGAGTCCAAGAAACCTTTGTACGAAACGTTTTTTCATATCTCCTATGGGTTTCCAGATCGTATAGGAGATCGTTTTATTTGGCACACGGCGTACATTTTCAGGCATTCAATCTTGTATTATAAACAATCCATATCCAACATAATTTAAGTAATTAATAGAGAAAATAAAAGAATAAAATTATTTTGGTCAATCATTTATTAATTGTTAATAATTAATAAAATATAGCAATCAATTGCCATAGATTTTAGCAAATACAGCGTTTCAAAACAGAGAGCCCGGCAGACACGATCTATTTGTACTTGTATTTCTTCATGAATTACAAAGTAAAAGATAAATATCAATTAAAAAATGCTGTTTGACACTTAATGAACGCAGTTTTTAGTGTTCGAATATTTTAATTAAATATCCAAAAAGAGAGGGACAAATAATGTCCAGCGTTTGAAGTGCTGTATTAAAATAAATTATTACATTAATCATGATAATGATAATTCTCGTAAATTTTGGGTTAACTTAGGTTTTAGTTCTGTATTTACATAAAATGTTTATTAGCATTTAATATAATAATCGTGTTTAATTTTCCTGGTTAAGTGAAAACACCTACTCCTTTAAAAAAAAAAGTTCTTTAGCATTTTTAGAAAAATAATATTTCTCTGTGTAGAATGTAGCCCAAGTGCTCTCTGCGGTACAAATCACCTTTCCTTAGATTAGCAAAATAAGAGTTAAATTTTCTATTATTATTATTAAATTATTATTATTAAGTTTCTTTTTTCGGGAGTTATTTGAATTTCCTTGATTTTCTTATCCCAAGGTTCTACGGTTGCTCCATGATCATTACATTTTTCGTGCCAGGCATTTAGTAATTTTGAAAAAGATAAATAGATTGTATAAAATGGATATTTTCACATTTAAATCTTTCATTATTTCGGCTTTATTTACATTTTTCATCTACGTTAAAACTATAAAGTTTATTCAAAAAATGCTTTGCACAGGTTGTCTGTCACTCACAAACTATAAATTATTTTGTAATAGAAATACAATATTGAAAGGTTCCAAATAAAGAAATCAAATTTCAGGCTTGTGGGTACAATATCGACATTAATTGTGGTTTATTTCTATGCTTAAGCTACTCCTTTCAAAAAAGGACTTCTTAAGTTTGTGTAAGAAATCGGATTCTTTTATCAGTCAGGTATTTCTTTACAACTAAACTAGGTTATCGAGTCTGCTGCTATTGACGGTGCGTCTAAATAGGGTCCATAGTTTTTTTTTTAATTTTGGGCGACCCTTGGTTTCTATTGAAGATGCTTATCTGGTACATGTGACAGGTCTAAATATTTGACTAAATTAGTTTAACAATTTTACTTTCTCTTCTAGGGAAAAATGTTTTACTTTAAATTTGTACTTACTTTTTTTTACGGACTGATTCATTAATCACTGACAGGAACTAATATAGAAGTTTGGGAAAAATCAAATTAAGATAAACTGGACATTACCCTTGATTTCTATTGAAGATGCTTATCTGGTACATGTGACACGTCTAAATATTTGACTAAATTAGTTTAACAATTTTACTTTCTCTTCTAGGGAAAAATGTTTTACTTTAAATTTGTACTTACTTTTTTTTACGGACTGATTTATTAATCACTGACAGGAACTAATATATAAGTTTGGGAAAAATCAAATCAAGATAAACTGGACATTACCATTTCTTCCGCCAGCGGGTGTGATTTAAAAAATAGTAGCTTTTACTGGAAATTTTTGCAATATAGTAAAATAACTTCTTGTTAATTAAATAGTACTATGACGATTTATCTCGAAAACTCAAAAATAAATTAATTAAAAATAAATTCAAACAAGGCGCAAGCAAAAGGAGATATCGCACGCAAAAAAAATAGTAATAAGGAAATTTGATGAACAATTCATTCTCTCCTTTTGTTCTCATTTGAAATCTTACAACAACAAAAAAAAAGTTAATTCTAAAAGATTCACCAATTATATTGCAAAATTTTGCAGTAAACTATCCTAAAATTGAAGAACTTTTGAGATAAAATGGAGATTTTTTTGTTGTTAAAATCAGGGCAACACTAAGAAATAAGCAATAAGCAAACAAAATTGGGAATCTCTAGGCATATTCCAATAAGCTATTATTGTTTCACAATTCTGCAAATTTTGAAAGAAAATGTAACAGAAAATAAAACATAACATTCACGCATTTTTTAAAAGTTTGTTCTGTTTTATATTTAACAGGCAAAACACTCATCTCTGGGTCATCCAAAATCATTGAAGTATTGCAGAGATAAAAAGACAGGTACGACAAGAGATCCATGTTTGTTGTGGCATCTTTAACAACAAATAGATTGGACCAATTATTTTTTGTGGTGGACTAACAGTGAAAAGTTTCCCTTAAGGCAATTTAAACCACCATTTGGCAACAAGACGGTGCTCCACCACATGGTGTTGTGAGACCAATTATACCAAACACACGGACCAATTCCGCCCCCAAATGCTCCAGATTTTACTCCCGTGGATACTTTTTTATAGGAACGTCTTACAGGAAAAGTCTGCCCCTAGAGAAATCTAAATATTAATAACTTGACGTAAAACATTTTATACAACCAATACACTCTCTATATTATCAGAAGTATATTGAAAATAATGGGGGATACATTGAACATTTATAAGATTATTATTACGTGGATAGTATATCGTTTTCCAGTTATAATTAATTTAGATTTGTTGTATTGTCGTATTAGGATTTTTTTTTCTATACATTTGAACTTGCTTATTAACGGCATACTACGCCAAATAATTCCCTGTATTCTCTTCTTGCTTGAGATATGTTGTTATTATTTGTATAAAATAAACGTTTCATTTCAAATGTTTGATTTTCATTATAATAACTTAACAGAATTGTTCAATTAAATAAGTAAATGCAAATATAAACAATATACTTTTTACCTCGGCGAAACGTCAAAATTTCGCACTACCACATTGAAATATTTTTTGGTCCTCAATTTAAAAATTTTGCAAGGTTTTTAAAAATCTTTCAAAGTAAGTTAAACAAACTCCATATTTTTGAAAGCAGGAAAAAATCTTGTTTTTTTTTAAATAATATAAAGAGTGTCCCATTAAAAAATGAGACTTTTTGTATCTATTCAAAAAGAGGGTGGCGAATTATTAGCAAACACCCAGCATATAAGAATATTTTGACTTTCTCGGTAGTGCAAGTACACGGAAATTTCAAAAAAATGGGGTTCAGAAATAAAACAACGCGTAATAACAAATAAATTATTTATGATTTTTTCTATAACCTACGTCAAAATATCACAGAAATTTAAACCAGTCTTAGAAATATTTACAAGTCCTAGGAGTCCATTGTTATATCACCAAGGGCGCCAGACCGTTCCGTCCTTATCACCGCTTTCTTCGGAGGTCAGTTTTGGAGACGCGAAGTGGGAAGGAACTAGGAAAACTATATCACCGCCTTTCAACTTCGTGGGGTACAAGGCGACCCCCACTTTTTTGCAATCACTGGAACTATCGGCAGGACGTATGCAGACGTTAGTCGTTGGGGAATCCCTTTGCGATTGGTGTTCCAACTTGTTCAACTTACGGTGTAAATTTTGGACGTAACTCACGGTCATCTCTAAAATATCGGCTTTCTCCATTTTTGCGGTACGATGTCCGTTTTTTCCCCTGGACTCCTTTATCGTCGTCTTGGATTCGAGCAACATTTGCTTGAGCGTTTCCAAACTGTCGTTAATTCTTGCGCGACGTTTCTTTTCCATCAGAGGTTTTCTAATTTTTCGACTTTCGGACACGCAGGGCGGTCTATCGGTTTTCATTTCTACGACGCGCACTGACCAAGAACAATTTTTACGATACGACTTCTGCTGAACCTAAACGATATATGTCAGATGTCTTGAGATGTTCAGCGTATTTCAAGACGCGCCCCGGCTATTCATCCCCTCTATTTCGTCCTACCTGTTGAATGAATTGTCCCGCTTGAATGGAACCGATCGGGTGTCAAATTCGGACGTGAAAGGGGAATTTTTGGACTTTTTGTGCGAACCGAGTGTAGGTTAACGTCGATGTCTAAAAAAATGCAGCGGTAAAGGCTTTACTTACGAACGAAAATTTTTGATATCCAACAACTTCACTTTAAGTACTGTTGTTAAATTCCAAATTAAATCATGATTCATACAGATTAGACATGTACGTATTTATTTTCTAAAAATGAGCACCATTTTGCTGTGACTCATATAGGACCTTCATAAATACAGTGTAGGCGTTTATTGTGCAACATATATAAATTTTGTTTACTAACTATATAACTAAAATACTGAAATTACCAAAAGTTGGTGTTTCATAATCATATTAAGTGCACCTAACATAATAATAATAATAATAATAATAATAATAATGATTATAATCACAGTCTATATAGGTAATTAGTGTACATTCAGAAATATACATGAAGTCTGGCTGATTCAGTCAGCTGCTCAATATTAACCCAAGTGGAATGAATTCACGCTGGTTTCAAATAACGTATTTCATATATTATTTATATTTTAGCAATGATCCCTAACCTAAACGTATATAGGTGATATTTATGCTTGTTGTATATGTATGTTAGATATGTACGTCCTTATTTTCTAAAAATGAGCACCATTTTGCTGTGATTTATATAGGACCTTCAAAAATACAGTGTAGGCGTTTAGTGTGAAACATAAATAAATTTAAAACATTAAAATTGGCAAAAGTTACTATTCCATAATCATATTAAGTAATTATATATATATATATATATATATATATATATATATATATATATATATATATATATATATATATATATATATATATATATATATATATATATATATATATATATATATATATATATATATATATATATATATATATATATATATATATATATATATATATATATATATAGGTAATTAGGATACATTCAACTTGTTGGCATATGGAATGACTTCACGCTGGTTTCAAATAACGCATTTCATATATTATTTATATTTTAGCAATAACCTAAACATATGTAGGTAGGTAATATTTGTGCTTGTTGTATGGCCAAGTTGTTTTGCATTTGAAGCTCGTTCAACTACTTTATCAACGTGTGGAAAGATTCCATTTTTAGCTTGATCTTTTTTTAATTGAAAAAAAGCCAAGATATTTGAAATTATTAGCTATGATTGCTTCGCGGAACCTTGCAAAATTTTAAAAAAACGACAGTGATTTCTCTCAAAATTTTTTTCACTATGTTAATTGACATAGAATAAACAAAAATAACAAAAGATAGCTAGCCGGCATATACATGCTGGTTGAAGCTCAGTTTTCAATCAAATGATGCAGCCTATGTCGCTTTAGGGTAATACTATAATTTACAACCTAATATTAAGTTCTTAAGTTCAATAAAAACTCAAGGCAGATCTTAACGACTCGAACTTATTTGCAATAAAGCACTGCCTAAAACTTAACCCCCAAAAATCTCAAATTATCATAATCAATATCAAAAATGAAGTCTACAACACATTAGCGAAAATATTTGAGACAAAAAATTGTTCTTTAATATAAAAAATACATATATGACAACATGGATTCTACGAGGGTCGTTCCGCATCAAGTAGTCCCAGTCCGTCTGTTCAGGATATAGTGGGTTAGTAAAAAGTGCCGCAGCCCGCAAGTTTTTTAAAAGTTTTCACAAAATGTTAGTTTACAGGGTGTCCGAAATAAAATTTCCTATCCCCTTAACTCAGAAACTAGGAACGATACAAAAAAAGGTAAATAGAATAGTTGCATAGTTTCATCTATATTTTTTTTAAGTTTTCATATGTTCAAGGTGGTCCGTTTACATGGGGTAAATATCAGCTATCATATTTTAAATAGAACACCTCATATATTGTTGTCTTTTTGGATTCTCCCGGAAAATTTAGATATGTTTCAAGTATAATATTTTTATGTGACAATTGTTGGCACCAAAACGATTAACATTTTTTTGTGTAAGTGAGCTTATATTATTTAATTTTATACAAATTCCTTTTTGAAGAGGTCTATTGTCATATATTAAGTGTATATTTCGGATGTAAATTAATACAGGATGGACAAAAGTTAAGTATAAAAATTAAATTACAAAAAACGTAAAAAGACAATCTTTTAATATGAAAAACCGCTGTTTTTATACTTTTATCCGATTTGGCATTAAACATTTAACATTTTCCTATTGTAATAATGCTATAATACAGTCGAGCAGCACAGAAACGTCACCTTCAAAACACCATCAGTTTGACAGGAGCTCTCTGACATTGATTTTAAAGGACAAAAGTAACGCTTTAACAACAAGCGAATATCAGAGAAAATATCCACAAAAAAGAATTTCAGATAAAACCACTTTTGGAAGAATTGAACATGACTTGAGGAAGCGTAGTGTTTTAAAATGTAAAATAATTGATCAGACGTGAAATATCCTGTGACACAAGCAGGATTATAAATTATCGCCTAACATGTGTAACTATAACATTTACATTATAAATTTAAAAATAAATATATGAAATTCTAAAACTCAAAGTAAGTGGTTCACATGACCCCCATCTTCAGCGATACAAGTTATATATTAGTTCAAATTTCCTAACTGCATTCTCTATCACCCCACTTCACTAATTCTGTTTTCTAGAGCAATACTATCGTAGCTAACTAATAACAAAATTTAACAGTCTTGTTACAACAGGAAAATTTAAAATTTTTAATGTGAAATCGGAGAAAACTATACAAATAGGTTATTTCCATTCGAAAAATAAATACTTTTTACATTTTCTATAATTTAGTATTTGTACTTTATTACGTAAAAAATTCCCACTATATGACAAAATACCACCTTGCATAAGCAATCTTTCAGAACGAAAAAAGACTTAGGCGTCTTCAATTAATATGATCTCGAGAAGACCGTTGCTAATAGGGTGTAAAAATGTATTAGCAAATTCAACACTTTTAAGAAACTCACAAACGAAGATTAACGTGACCTTTCAACTAAAATTAAGATGTTTACCGTGAAGAAGTGAGAATTTTATTATGACTGTTAATACCAATTACATTACACTCTCCATTAATTATTTTTTGGTTACCTGTTCCTTTTCTTATATTATTTGGTTAATTAGTTTATTAAATTTCCATGTAAATCTTCTTGCAATTACTATTTAGAAATAGTAATAGAATATCAAATTTGTGCTCTAAAAATTCTAATATTAGTACATTAAGTAGAGCAAGGTTCATATATCACTGCAGTTACGAACAGAAAACTTCCCAGATATTGTCTACTTTATAATGCATATAAAAATAACCAAAGAGACAGCCGAAAGCAAAACATCCAAAAATGTGTATTTAAATATTTCCCGAAAGGCGCAGTTTATTTTTCTGCGAGTAAGTTGGAGTATTTTAAGCAGTCAATAATAAGCCACTTCCTGCCCGTACAAACTGGTACATTGTGCCGTTTGAAAATATCCCAACAAAAAGAGCGCTATTTCTTTCAAAAGTACGTTCCCATTCATGAATCGAGTACCTTCGCCCACCCCTTGGAATTCACTAGTAATGCGAAAAAAGAACACAAAGGAATTCGATTTACTATGATTTCTATACTACACGAACTTGAAAGTTATTTGGATGCACAAAAGTCACGTATTGTGTTAGTCAGGAGGTGCCTCACGCTAAGTTTTTCCCCGACGTATCCCTGGAAGTGAGTACCATCGTGCCAATCAATTTTCAGCAAGGTGTTTTAGGACATCCAAGATTTTACTTTGTCAATTTGTATTTGTAGGGCTTCGTTTGCTATTTTAAATATTTCCTTTTAAATTAACTTGTCAAAATCGAAATTTAATTTAAACCAGGTTCTTTTTAAAAACGTTCAATTTATGAAAAAAAGTCATAAATAAATAAACTGTTTTTATAATTTTACTAATAATATAAATAATAATATACTTATTCAATAGATAACGATAATTATAAATTAAAAATTAATCATATTCAAAGTATATCGACAAAAATAGACAAATGAAAACATAACATTTAAAAAAAATTAAAAAATAGCTTATTTGATTTTTACACTTATTTGTTATAACATTTCACTTTTCTCTAAACCTTGTATTCTAAGAAAGATTTATATTTTTTAGTAAAGTCTTGTTTTTAAAAATTTTTTAAACCGTTGCTTGAAAAAATAATTGCCTTATCGTAATACAGTTTTACAGGGTGAGTTAACAAAAGCGTATACTTCAATATCTCGCTAGTTTCAAAAGTTGTGAAGATTGTTAAGATTCACAATTTAAAACCATTTTAAAGTATGCATCAATGAATATATTAGTTTTCAAAATAAACGAATATATTTGGATAATTTTAAATTGGAAAATCTCGATTTTCTAGCACACCATATATATTAATATTTTTTCTGAAGATCTTAAAAACACCTACAACTTTTATTGTGTATGTCATGTACCTATCTTTAATACTTTGCGATTTATTTTAATTTTTAAAATATTTACCCTTCTTTCTGTCTAAGACTATTGCCAAAGCATTAGTTGGATATCACAAAATTACATTGTCAAATTTTTACCTGACAACTGAGTAAATAAATTCGTAAAATTTATTGTAGTAAATTAAAAAAAAGTATGAATTTTCCTAAAGCTGAATTAATAGCGAACTTGATCATTTTTTTTATTTCTTTAATACATTTGTTTATGGATAAAACAATCGCGTACCAAATCTCAAAACCCAATATTTAAGTTGCAATAAATAAAGTTGAGACTTCCTGCTACTCCTTTTATACGACACTAAACACGCGGGAATGATCGTGACGTCATACCGCTGGTTTTCTATCGATACGGCGACA